TTGCCCGCAGGGGGCACCGGCGGATGCACGGGTACCTGGCCGGGAAGGGCATACAACTCAAAGCGCAAACGCACGCAAGAAAGAGAACCGGCGAATCCTCGATGGTCTCCAGCGCGATGTTGGCCTGGCGTCAGGAAACAAAAGAAGCAACATGAGTCTGAAAGAGCCAGGCAGGTGCAGCAAGGCAGGGCACCACGACTTTTTAGGCAACGCCGCAGCGGGACCGGATCAGGGCCGGCCGCGAGAAGCGGAAAAGTAGAAAGGGCCGGGCCGAGCGGGCCACCCCACGCACGATGATCTTAGGAGACCAGTTGGATTACGGGCATCAAAGGCTCGGGGCGTGCGGGGCGGTCCGGACCAGGTGCCTAGTACCCGTCTTGGATACAATACGGGCATTTGTGCCCGGTGTGATCGGTCCGGGAATGCAACATCACGGGCCGGAGGCAAATGCGGAGACAGTGCGGGCCCCGGGCCGGACAATCGTGCGAACAGTATCCGCGAATTTGCAAGTGGGCAAGGACGGCCGGAGGGTCCTGGAGCGGAGCCCAGCTTGGCAAATCCTGCTCCTCAAAGCAAAAGAGGTCGGGCCAGGGCCAGGAGTCCGTGCGGATGAAAGGGCCGGGGGCGGCGGGCAGGAAAATGCTCAAGCTCTCCCAGCCTTCGCTGATGGTCCAGGGGCCGGTATTGGCACGGCGCGGGGTGAGTTGGCCACGGTCCACAAAGATCGGAGGGCAGCCGGGGCGGTTGGGATCCGAGTGGACCAGAGGGGCGGACGGGTCAATGCCGACGTGTCCGTCAAAAGTCCCTGGCGGGGGCGGGTGAATCCGGGCAGGACTCGCAGGCCACCGGGATCAGCACCAACGCCGTCGGCGGGATTTGGCGGGGCCGGGTTGGGATCAGGCCTGGTGCCAGCGGCCTGGTCAAGACCGGCATGGATGGCGTCGGCTGCCTGTTGGTCCGGAAAACGCGGACCGGACGGCAAAGGTGCAAGGTCACCACGCGTCGTCTGCGGATAGCGGCCTCGGTTCGGAGGCGGGCCGGTCTGGGACATGTGCGCGACCGGAACCTCGACGTCAAGCTGGCCCAGGTTGCCCATGGCATAGGTGACGTCCTGGGCGACTTCGGCAATCAAAAGAAGGAGGCGAGTCACCTGGGACGGTGGCAGATCGGCAAGGGACCAGTAAATCGCATCATCATCAAGAGTGGATAAGAATGACAGGTCGATCCGATCTTCCTCCAGGGGCGGCGGGGCGGCCTTGGCACCTGCCGCGGGGGCCGCTTTGGGAGCCGCTTCAGACGGAGCGGCAACGGGCTTGGCAGGGGGAAAAGAGGGGGAAGTCGTAGGGGGGTGGCTAGGAGGCTGCTTAGTGGGCGTGGGTGCGAGGAAGTCGGCACCACGTTTGGCAGGGGGCTGGGACGGGGGGCAGGGGGATCCACGGAAGAGACCGGGTCCGGAGCCACGTTCGTGTCCTGGGCCGGAACCTCCATCGGGACAGCCTGAGCATCAGGAGCCGGCGGGGCCTCGACATCGGCCGGAGTCGGGTCGACGTCGGACCGGATGCCCACGGCAGCGCCCACCACACCACGGGCCAGTTCACGGAGAGCGTGTCCACCGAAGCGGGCCATGATCACCGAGAGCGGTAGGCAGAAGGAGGCAAAGAGCGATGAAAGCTGAAAGCGGCTGCGGAGGGAAGCATAGGTCGCTCGAGCAGAACACGGCAAGCCAAGCAACCAAGGCGACAGCACGACCGGACACAGCGTGCAATCAGGCCTTCGGGGGCGAGACCGGCAGAGATGGAGCCGGGTCAGGCCTGGGAAGAGCCAAAATGAATCAAAAAGAAAAAATGCTTTCAGCTGGGTACCATGCATCATGGCCCGGAGCTGAGCACCGAAAGACCTCAGCCAGCAAAGGGCGAAGGCGGGAAACACAAGAAGAAAGGGTCGGCCTCCTGTCGGAAGAGAGGCGGGACCGGGGCCGCCTGACAGAAAAAGTCAAGAGGCTGCTATGTTAGGCCGGAGGCCAACCTCGAACGCGAGGAAGATGAACTCGAAGACCGCCTGGCCCTTCTCCGCCGACGGCGGGGAGGACAGGAGCGGGACGAGTCAGAGGATGAAGGCATCAAGCCGTGACAGTCTAAAGAAAGAGCTAGCACACCGTCGGAACCCGGAACGGACGTGCCTAAGTCGAACGGCTGCGGTGTGGTTATTCTGTTCCTCGCAGTTCAGCAGACTAGGTTACATTGTCGCATCTGTTTATTCGCACACATAATCACACATACAAACACACTATGAGAGTTGTAGGTACTCACATATGGTTGATTGATTCTCGCTACATACATACGAGGCCCCATGTCTATAAATGCACACGTGTGTTGACATCCTCTGCTACATGCCTGCCAACTTTTCGCTGCATGAGCTGCATCTCATAAGAGACACGGGGTCTGTGCTCAGTGAAACCGAGGGTTCGGAGGAGCGCTGCAAGGCTGTGTCCCCATGCGGCCAGCGAAGCCTTTGGCGGCAGCCGCATGGCCCTTGCAGCCCTCTGACCTCTCATCTTATTTGCCAATCTGGCAGCCTAGTTTAAAGAGTGGCTCGCACGAGAAGATGCAACGCAGTGAGACCTCTTCTGGTGAGAGGTCCACCTGCTCACTCTCCGCAGGTGCCTTCGCACGAACATTGACATGCCCGGTCTGATCCAGCAAATGCTCGAGGCCATGCTGTCTGAGGAGGTCTCGGGCCGTGTCGGCAAACTCCATGCGGCTCGACCGGGTTGCAGGGTCCCACAAACGGCCGCGGGCCCCAGCTCGCGTCATGATCTGATGGAGATCACCCACGGCTTCTTCCCTGGTTCCGGCAGAGCCAGCTGAAAAGGGTCCTGGCAGCAACATGACTACCACGAAGCTCCTGCGAGCAGCTGCCGCGAGGAATTCACAATGCACAGGTGCTGGCAATCAGATGCCGCATTGCGGTAAACGAGGCAGTCGAGATGCTCCAATGAAGAGCAAAGAGAGAGAGAGAGAGAGAGAGAGAGAGAGAGAGAGAGAGAGATGGAGGGGGAGCGAGAGCGAGTGCAAGCGCCGCCTTGGTACTGTGCCTACAATAAGGGCTTGCTGGCCGAGACGTGATGGCTTCTTGCGTCTGGCGTCCATCCCACCAGTGAGTACAATGCAATAACGTAGCGAGATTCCGAGCCGACAGTGGAGAAGCAATGCTTGATTCATGGTTTCGGTGCTTGTTGCTGTTGACTGGTATAGATAGCACGATTATCATGATCATTGCCATTCTGACTCTTGGCAATATTGATTATTGATACCCTTCGACATTGTCGTGATTCTTGTTGCTACGGCAAGCTCCAAGCGCGAAGCGGGATCAAGGTCCTGGTGGCAGTGGGAAGGGGAAGAAAGAGTCCGCAACCTCGCGGCAGCCGCCCAAGTCCTGCTCCAGCTGGTTCAAGGCAAAGTCCTGCACGGGGACGCACAATGTATACTCATAAGGCGATGGTCTGATTGCAGTGGCAAAGGCTTGATAATGGTAACGTGGTAACCCTGAAGCGGACAGTCTAGGCAGGGAAGCTGGCCTCCTGCAGCTGTGAGACGTCGCTCACGAAGCGGATCTTCTGACGAGCCCGCTCCGTCATGGCGGCCTCCACGACATTGACGAGGGCCCGAACCAAAAACGGCATGTTGCAGACATAGAAGCAGAACACACGCCCCGCATTCTGGTGAGTAAAAACTTCCTTCAGTTCCATGAGCGCTGGGATAGCCATGTGCCGGTAGGAGATGTCCTGCAAATCGATGATGACACAAACATTCTCCACCCTCCCGGGAACGGCCATGTAACGTAGGAAATACTCCATGCAGAACATGAAGAGCCTTGCAAAGCGTGGGGCATCCCAGGTGAAGGGCACTCGCCCAGCGCGCATCACTAGCGCCGGACGCAAGGCGAAGTCCCTTCCACAGAAATAGACGGCACCCTCTTTGAGGTCTGACAAGAGCTCGGTGTCCTGCAAGGGCCTGGGGAAGTAGGAGAGGCGCCAGCTTTGGTTTTCCTCCATCTCCCGAATCGCCAAGTCCACATCTCCCCTGGCATCGCCTAAGAAGCGGACAGCAGCCACGGCCACGGAGGGTAGGAATGCCTTCTGCTGCCTCTCAGTCTCTTTCCTCAACTCCTTGAGCCAGCGAAGCTCTTCAGTTGAGAGCTCCTCAGTTCTCGCTACGGAACGTGCCTTCAACCTTACGCTTCAATCTTACAATCGCGATGATGGTTTAACTGCTATTAATTACCATGAAGCTAACAAGAACTAAAGGGCCCAGGCTCGATGTTGCAAGAGATCAACCTCTCTTTGTCTCCGTTTGCAAAAGGCATTACCACAGCCGTCTCTTCGGGGACGTAGGACAGGGCCTCCTCCGGCAAACTGTAGCGAGCGATGTTCTGTGGCTGCACCTTGCAGGGCCGAAAACCCCCCCCCCCCCCCCGCCCTCCTGGGACCCTTTTGCCTGGGCCCTGGCCCCGTGGCCTGGATCGGGCAGAACTCGGGTTTCGAGAGGAAGCCGCAGAACTCCGAGGCCTCGGCGTTGCTTTGGGCTTCTGTCGAAGTGTTGGCTCCAGCCACGGAGTTCTCGGCGTCACCTTTCGCCTCTTTTTCCTTGGATCCTCGCTTTTCCTGGGCTCCTCGTCCAAGGAGACGTGGCAAGCCCTTCAAGCCCGCACAGCAGAGATTCCTGCAGCCTGCCATCAGAGGCAAAGATATACCCGGGCGCGGGGACCGCTGCGGGATTCTTGGGCCGAGATCTGAAAGCATCAGGTGCAGCATCTCGCGGACCCTTCGCAAAGAAAAGAGTGCTCGAACTCCCCTAAGCCGCCGCCTCATCCTGGGAAATGGGGAACCCGCAGCTGCCGGCAAAGCGCTAAGGCCAAAGGCTCGGGCCGATGGGCCAGCGATGGCCAGCGGTTGCAGAGACAGAGACCTGCCTTTCAGAAGAGGTGCCCGAGGATGCGGCCGTGCAGGCGAAGAGCCGTCGCCTCCGCTGCCTTGGAACTAAGATGAGCCACTGAGCCGCCCTTTGTTGGCTCCCCCACCGGCGCGAGCATCTCCGCAGGAAGCGATGCCGCCTCGGCTGGGGGGAAGAAGTTCGAAAAGACAAGGCTTCTGCCAGAAGCCCTCCTGGTCCTAGCCGCCTCAGCCTTCAATGCTATCGAGTCTCAGCGGTTGCCATCGATCGCAACACGTTGGCCAAGTCCTCCCGCGACCAGCGACGCGAGCGAGTGGCACAGGCTAAGGAGACGGAAGACGAGCAAAGACGAACTTTACGGCCTGGCAATTGGATTCCCGGATCTTGGTCTGCCAGGCCTTGTGCGAAACACGAAAAAAGCTGAAGTGAACGCAGGCTGTCCTGCCACCTGTGCTATCGCCGCCAGCATTGCGCCGCCTCAGGTGCAGCGGGTGCAGCTTTGCTAACCTCAAAGTCTCAAAGCCTGTTCAATAGAGACCTTTCACCGAACTTGGACATGAGAGCATTACGAAACGACGCCGACATCGTCCGCTACCCGTTTTCCGACGCTGTTGCGGGTTGTGAGTTTGCACTCCCTCACTTGATCTCCACGTGGAGGGTGTGGCGGCCAAGGTATTTGTTGAACTTGCGGAGCTTGAGGAGCTCGGGTGTGTTGCGGACGTTCTTCTCTGTGTAGTAGCGGCTGACGCCTCCACGGGGTCCACCAGCACCTGGCACGCCGTCCTTGACCATCTGCCTCTGCTCCACGCACTCAATGACGGCAATCTTTCGGCCCTTTTTGGTGGGCTTGCGGTGTGCCGCCATGGACAGCGATGTCATTCGTTCTGCGGACACCTCGAAAGCAAAAAGGATGTGGAGTCGGTGTGGAAAAAGTCTAGAAAGCTCAGCTTCCGGCTGCTCTGGCGAAACTGGCTCCCACAAGGAGGGCGGCTGCAAGTGAGACGCTCGCACCAGAGGCTTCACGCCAAGAGTCTGATGCTGTGGCTTTCCATGTGGAAGAAGTGGCCTGCGACATTGGATGGTGCCCCGCACAACATCCCAAACGAACCCCTCATTTAGGCACCGACCGTTCTCGGAGCCAAACCTGCCCCAGCACCCAGATTCACCGGGCTCACGAAAGCCACGCCAGCGCTCGCGACCTGGCTCAAACTTGCGAGGGTCCATTCCAAGCATTCTCAAGCGGTTCCTGCAGAGCCGCGGCGTAAATCACGAAGCGATTCATGTCCTCAGGACCGTCAGAATGCTAGCATTGACAAGCTGTGCCATTGCCAGCGATCAAAGTTTTGGGCCTCTGTCCGCTCCACACGCACACGGGGCAGGGCATGCAGCCCCTCTGAGCCAAAGCAGAGTGGTAAAGGAAGGGGCACTGCAATCGAAACCCGTGGCACTGCACAACTCCAGCAAGCCAGAGCCTGTCAACAAGAAGTCATTTTACAGCTGCATTCAAGCTGTGCGTCGGGAGAAGCCGCAGACACCGAGCTTGTTACGGTCGAGCGTAATGTCTGCACACAGCTATTATGTAACGTGAATCTGGAAGGCTTATACTTGAAACTACTACCTGAAACTTCGCTCGGCGCAGCTCAGTTCTGAGTTCGCTCACTTGATCTCCACGTGGAGGGTGTGGCGGCCAAGGTATTTGTTGAACTTGCGGAGCTTGAGGAGCTCGGGTGTGTTGCGGACGTTCTTCTCTGTGTAGTAGCGGCTGACGCCTCCACGGGGTCCACCAGCACCTGGCACGCCGTCCTTGACCATCTGCCTCTGCTCCACGCACTCAATGACGGCAATCTTTCGGCCCTTTTTGGTGGGCTTGCGGTGTGCCGCCATGGACAGCGATGTCATTCGTTCTGCGGACACCTCGAAAGCAAAAAGGATGTGGAGTCGGTGTGGAAAAAGTCTAGAAAGCTCAGCTTCCGGCTGCTCTGGCGAAACTGGCTCCCACAAGGAGGGCGGCTGCAAGTGAGACGCTCGCACCAGAGGCTTCACGCCAAGAGTCTGATGCTGTGGCTTTCCATGTGGAAGAAGTGGCCTGCGACATTGGATGGTGCCCCGCACAACATCCCAAACGAACCCCTCACTTAGGCACCGACCGTTCTCGGAGCCAAACCTGCCCCAGCACCCAGATTCACCGGGCTCACGAAAGCCACGCCAGCGCTCGCGACCTGGCTCAAGTAAGCTCCCAGCCACCAAAAGAATTAGGCATTCGGCATTCGGGTCTCTTGGTAATTTGGGTTTCGTGCCCTAAGCCCAAGCAGAATCTGATATGACGACCGAGTTTCGGGTACCCTATACACACGCAAGGCATAGTGGATCTCATATCCCAACTTCTCTTCTGCGCCTGGAGTAAGGCAGCACAGGTCCAAAGCAAACGTGGCATCCTCGCGACCGCCTCAGCCACGACGTGCAGCGCACCACAAGGAGATCAGTTGCTCGGCTATAGGAGGTCCCAACACAAGAATTTCGCATAGGATACATCCATGAGCTCGCTGGCTTCGAGCTTGGCTTCTTGCCGGAGTCGGCAATGTCTCGGCGCCCACTCTATGCCGCTACGGGGAATCGCTTGGTCCGCGCAAGAACGGCTGCGTTTGTGCACATTTCTCCACCGGTTGCACAGACACTCTTGGCAATTGGCAGTGCAAAGCGCAAGAAGCTGCGAGGAAAGCTGGGCTCGGGGCCATGTGCTTTTGGTGCCTCAGCGCCGAGAAAGATGGTGCCAGGAGTCTGCGGCTGGGAGTTCCAGGTCAAAGACACAGAGGGTCCGGGAGATGTTGCTGGGGTACCGCGGAGTGAGCCTCGCGGCGGCTCCGGCAGCAGCATTTTGGGGTTTCGGTTCGGGGTGCTCTGCGGTGCTCTGCGCCTCGCAAGCTTTTCCTGGACCACGGCGGAGGCTGCACCCGTGGAGAGCGCACGCGAAAGCTGCGGCTTCGCGAAGGCCCAAACCTCGGAGAGCGGAGCAGAGCGGAGCAGAGCGGAGCTCCCGGAAGCATCAGCCACAGCCACGGGAGCCCTCGCACAGCCCGGGACGGCGTTCACGAGGCCTTGCTCGCTGGGCCCATGGATCTCAGCGTGAAGGCACCGCAACGCTCTGCTGCGTTCTGACACGCGGAAATCACGGCATCCGCAGCATCCGCACCTGCCACGCGCCCTGAGATGCACCTGAGCGGTTTGGGGCCCATTCGCCTGCGAAGCTCAGGTGGACCACGGCCGTCCCGCCTGCTTCCGATGGCGGGGCACCTGCTTCTCCATGCTCGCACACATGCATCACTATCCCATGCAGCGGTGCCACCTCTCTATGAGGGTGCATGTGCTCGATTTATTGCTGTTGCCGATTCGCACAGCTTCAGATTGCAACGCAAGCAAGGGTACACGATCAGCGTTTCCACCCCGACCCTGGCCTGCGTGCGTGAGCTTCGTAGGGGCTTAGACCATGTTGGCGAGTCCCTGCGGCCTTCGGAGCAAAAGTTGCAATGACTTTGGACGACTTTCACTGAGGCAAAGGGCTGGAAGGTAAGGTGCAGGGCACGGGCTCCAGTGCCTGCAAGGTCCGAGTTTCCGGGTTGCCATTGTTGCCATGTCTGATATCCCCCGGCCGGAAAGCAAGATGTCATTGCATGCCGCTGACTTCCCGTGAGCTCGGACCTTGCACTGCAAGGCCCAGCTGGCTTTTGGCTGACTCTCTGGGGGTGAGGTGCCCACAATGTTGCATATTTGCGGCGGTCAGGACTCAGACATGTGCGAAGATGGAGGGAGCCTCGAGAGATGCTGCGGCATATCGCAAGTGAACGGGGCTGCGTCTGACGTCTTGCGGCCTCTCCGAGACCCGCCGGTCGCGGATCTTCAACTTCGTGGACCTCCGCCTTGGCATTGGACTTGGATGCGCTTGGCCGCGCGCTGCTTGTGGTTTCTTTGCCTCAAGACTTGAGGCCCAGGCACGGCGCTCGCAGCGTGCTGAGCTTTCACCTTTTCAGCCGGAAGCTGCTGGCCCGCTGCACCTGAGTTCAGGACTTCGGGGACTTCAAAACCTTTCCCTTCTCGCATAATGCCTCCAAGCGAGGACTTCGGAATCGAGAAACAACCTTGCTGGGTGGCGAGCCTGAAGCCTCGTTGGGGCGCTCCTCTCTGGAGCCTCGCAGTGTGAGAAAACTGCGGGTTTCAGCAGAAGCCCAATCAACAAGACAAAGCACTCTCGTAGTCTTCCAAGTCTTCTTTTGCTGCACTGTGGCCTCTGTATATGGTATTCCCAAAGCACGGCATGCACTGGAAGCACCGTTCAGAGCAACTTTAGCAACCGGATTCTTATCCTAGTCCCGTGTCGTTTCCTCTTATAACAGCAGGCATTGTCTGCAATGCGCTCTGGCAGGGCGTTTCTCGAGAACTGTCAAAACATCAATGCGGCCTCTATGCGCATGGAGTGCAAGATGTGAGCATCCCCCCAGGCGGCGGGTATCAGATTCTGCGACGCCATGTCTGGGATCCCCGTCTGGCCTGCTTTGCCAGGTCCCCATGCAAAGTCGGACACCTGCGTGCGCACTTCGGAGAAGTTCAGAAGGAGCGAGGCGCGCCCCCGAGGCGCCTGCTGTGGGTCCGCGTCCGCGGAGGCGTCTGCAGACCAGCGCCTGGAAACCGCCTCTCCGGTCTCTGCCGAAAGCAGCCGCTCCTGGGAGCAGCGCCGCGATAGGCGCGATAGGCGTGTGTGCGGAGCGTGTGTAGTTCGCGCAGTTCCCTGCTTTTTGGGCCCTCGCCTTGCTCTGCCGCTTGCCGGGCCTCACAGCGAGCAAGAGAGAGGAGAGAGGGCCCAGGGGGCAGAGGGGGAGGGGGGCCGCGGCAGAGAGCGGAGAGCAGGTGAGAGCAGGTGAGAGCAGGTGAGAGTCTGTGCGGGGCGCGTTTTGGGGCGCGTTGATAACCGCCGCGGTGCTGAAGACTGGCGAAGCTCCAAGGCCAAGGCGACCAGGCCAGGTTGGCGGGCGCCGGGAGCTCGCCGTCAAGGGCCGCTTTCGGAGCCGCCTTCGGGAGACTTTAGAGAGTGCTGGTTCCGCGCTTTCAGGTGGGCAGGTTCAATGCAGCCGCTGTCGCAGCCGTTCGGGCGTGCGTGCGTGTGTGTGTGTGTGGGTGAGAGAGAGAGAGAGAGAGAGAGAGAGAGAGCATTCAGGATTGCAGATTGCAGCTTGTGTTTTTCTTTTCTGGAGGGGGGGATGTGCTTTTCTTCACGCTCCCGGTCGGACAAGCCAGGGTCGCAAGGACAGCATGCTGTTAGAGAGCCCTGTCGCAATGCATGGAGAAGAGCATATCCCGTCCAACTCAGCCGCTAGCACGTCATGCAACCCACCCAACACCTCATCAGCTAGGTCACCACGCACGAAAGCATCCTCGGAACTCCTCGGATGGGAAAAAGCACTCCCACTGGGTTACCACTGATTCTGACAGCAGCGCAAATCCAGGGACAATGCGTAACACTTTAGATGCGAGTAAGCAGTGGCATGCAACTTATGATCCATGTAAAGCGCCTTATGCCAAAAAAAATTGTAGCATGCGCACAAGCAGAAATTCCAAATGGCAAGAGTCAGGGGGGGGTGCCCATAGTTTGGGGGTTCTAGTTTCGGATCGGCTGGCACGGGGTTCGGATCAGAGTGGGATAGTTTCCACGCCCAGTTTCGGCACAGCGGGGGTCAGTTTCGGGACGCTGGTCTGCCAGTTTCGGGGGGCGAGGTGGGCAGCTTCAGTCCGACTCTTGCAGGAAACCCGCTGAGCTCGAGGCTTACTTGCCACATCTATGAAATATGAACATTGCCCACAACAAACGGTCACAAAGCGGGATTGATGATAAGCACGACAGGCGAGCAGGCCCAGCAAGTGGAAATGGCAGTTCTCAATCTAACCAACGAGTTGACGAGTTGGCAACAGGCCCCTAACTCGTGCCTGGCTGCTGTCCGGCATGCTGTACAGCAAACACATCGGTACTTCTTATTCTAACTGCAGGTCAACCTTCGCAGAGCCTCCCACCGCAACGACACAAAACCCATCCCGCAAGTCGCGAGGTTGTGGCAGATGACTTGGACTTTCGGAGGTAGACTTCCTCCCGACTCGGGACTCCCTGAGTGCCGAGTTCCGCGACTTGCTGCTCGTCCGCTCATCTTGTGAGGAAGTGGCGGTTGCTGGCAGTGCATAGTTATTTCCAGGTCAGTAAGCCTATCGGAGATGTGGTGCAGCTCCTTCATGGAAGCGGTCTCTCCCAGGATGCTGCTGCGTGCACGATAACCATATAACCCTCTGCCATGTGCATATGCGCCATTATGCCATATGCTCTGTGGGCCATGAGCGACAAAAACCGCCGCAAATGCCTTCGGTTCCTTCGGCATGTAAGAGTATCCAGGCACAGCATGAACAGAAACGAAGAAGGGTGTGCCCTCTGACTGTGCCATTTCCATCACACAGTGGGAGTTCGCGGCCGATGACACGAGACGCCGCAAGCCTCAAAACCCGTAGCGCTTACGGTTTCGGACGGTTGGGGGGGGGGGGTGGCGTGGGATTTAACATGCATCTACACATCTGCGGCTGCCAACACACAATTTGTGTGAACACCGCTCTTGATCACCAAACAAATTTCTCTCGATTAGGACGGAAGAAACGTCTCAAATTCCGCTCCCGGCACGGTTCACTGGACGATGTACGCATCAGATTCAGACACTGCATCCAGGAAAATCCAATTTGGACTGTCGCACGGGCCTTGAGCGCTTGGAGGCGTCAGGCTCAAACAAGCGTGACTCCCGCAAGCGGCACTGCAGCCTCCGCAGGCTGTGGGGACACATCATGATACTGACTGGCACCCAAAGATTTGTTGACTGCATAATAATGACCGCCCATCGATTCTTTAGGCCCCGACAGGGTTGATCAATTATTGAAGGGGGGATCCCAGTGCTACTACGCTCGCTGACTCTCTGTTCGACTCTGGAAGGGCTGAAAACAAGGCCTCAGGTGTTCTGTTGGGAACTATAGGGACGGGATCATCCGTGAATTCCCGGGATCAAGCTTCTATACTTGCGTGGGGGTTGATAGTTGAGTTCCGGGGAACATGTGTCCACTCTGTGCTGTGATACGTCGGAAACGTAGTAAGGATCACTGAAAACGACCAACAAGACTGACGATAGATGCATAGATGCGGTTTTTAAAATTTCTCTCATATGACTTTCGACGCTCACACTCGCACGCAGGCAGGCAAGGCTCCACATAGCATATGACTTTAGGGCATGTTGTTGTCGAGGGGTAGGTGTCAGAACGTAATGCGGCAGGATCTGCAACCTGTTGTACTGGCTTCGTGCACTATACCATCACGAACCCGGCAGAACACTCCGGTGGAGTGTGAAGAAAAACAGATAATATGCCCAAGACTCACGAGTCGTCCGTCGGCCTTGCGCAAGCATCGCCTGTCCCAGCCTCTGCTTCACAAGCATGGCCAGTCCAAAGGCGGCGGTGAGCCGAGGCCCAAGGTCCAAGCCTCCTCTCGGCTGCTTGGCGAACTCGAAGCCCCGTGGAGTGGCCCTGGACTCGCGGACTGGGAGGCGTGTGAAGCCGTCGCTTCCTGTGAGACGAGGGGCCCGGCCTGTCGCAGGGCTTCTAGGCGACGGCCGCTGGACTGTGCCTCCCACGCGCCACTCTGACAGGAGCTCTCTCGAGTTCCACTCCCCTCCTCGCAAATAGGCTCGAGTCCATGGCGGTGACGGGAAACTGGGGAGCTGAAAGCATTTCGGGCCCTAGAGCTGCTCAGGCGAGGCGGTGTGGCTCGGCTCGCAAAAACAACTCGCGGTGCGGAGAGCCTTGTTTTTTCTCCTCCGAGCCCTCGTCTTGGCTGAAAACACTTGCTTGTTCTTTGAGCAAGTGCGCTATGCCGCTATGCTATGGGACTAGGACCTCAGCTTCTCCGAGAGCTCCCAGTCCTTGCCTCCAGTCAGAACCCTAAAACCCGAGGTAAAAAAAACAGAACATTTCGTGCAAACGGAAGGAATGAGGCCCTCGCGCAGGCGCGAGAGGATGGCACGCTCAGAACCTACCAATAAAAACGAGCCGAAGTCCGAGAGACTCTGCGAGTCTTTGCGAGTGAGAGAGAAAGAGAGAGAGAGAGAGAGAGAGAGAGAGAGAGAGAGAGAGAGAGGGAGGGAGGGAATCTCTGCGAAATCTTTTTGAGGACAAGCCTCACTGCCTCACAAGCTGCACATCGTGCTTTTGGTGTCTATTTTGGGTGTACGGTGTAAGCATATATGCTTCTCATGTATATAAAAACCACTAGGGTAAGCTGTAGTCTTGGTGTGAGAACTGCACAGGTGCATCTGCATTGTATGAATCTGCTTGTGCAAAGGCGAGGGCTCTCGCGTGGCTTCTTTCGCCAGCCATAAGCCTGTCAAGGCTTGATTCGAGACTTCCCCCTCCGAGTCGGGCTGAGCATCCGACACATCGGCGAACTCGCATGCGAGCCGGCCTGGTGTGATCCCACGAGGTCAGCGAAGACTTCTTCAGTCCCTCCCCTCCCCGCCAAGCGCAAGCTTCTGGGGACACTTTCGTCTAGTTCTCTTGTCTAGGGCACGAGAAACCATAGCATCATATCCGACAAATCAGGGGAATCTCGCCCCATCATTGTGGCCAAAGTGGCTGTGCGTTTCCAGAGACTCCCATATCAATTAACGGCTCCTGAAGCGATCTCTACCATGACTCCGAGAAATCTCTTTCACTAACCAAGGGGTTTGTGGAGTTTCCCATCTTCTGCGTCCGAATCTTGAGAACATCAGAGGCTGCAAAACTGGCTCCTCACGCCTCGTAGTCGTGGCGTCATCGACAAGAATCTCCAGTCCTACTGAGAATTGGTGGTAGAACCTCCACCTATGGCTCCATGGTGACGCGTGGTACATTGTTGATAAAACTCTTATGGTGAATGCTGAAAACAGACTGAGACAACTCATACGATCTTCATATTCATGATAGTCATTAGCTTGTCATGAATGCTCTTCTACGCTCGTCTTGGTGTGCCGAGTCTGGGAGTCCTCCTTCCAGCAAGCCGTCGAAGCCGCCACCCGGTCTCAGAGGTTCGGAGCGCGGCAATGCACATGTATGTGTGTATATATTACATACATCTATATTCTATATCTTTAAACAAGACTGCAGCTTCATCGTTGAACTCGCTAAGACGCGGGCTGGCGACTCCCAGGAGGCAGAAACCTTGGCCGCAAGCGCCGGCCCCATAGCAGAGCGGCTGAGAGCGGGTAGAGCGTACAGTAGGGTCCAGGGCCACAGCATTATAAAACATATTCGCCTCGGCCCCGGCCGAAGCGGTCAGAGCTTCCGATACGGATTCCCTCTATGCCCCACCTCTTCGCTCCCCAGTGACCCACCCCCTCCAAACCTGCCTGCCTCCCCTCCTCTGCTTGAACGTCTGGATGACCAAGGTCCCACGGTGAAGTGTCGCTTCTTTGAATGGATTTGGGCTGCCTGTAGGGCAGTTTCATGTACGCCCCTCCCCGTGAGATGTAACCTGGGCGTATATCCCCTCGCTATGCGTGGCTCTCTTGAATCTCTTTTGACTACAGGCGCAGAGCTGTAGATCGTACTCTGCAAGAACCTTGAGCGACAAGCATGGATACGTGCAAGTGATACGTGAAGCAGACAGGCACCTGGATGTGGAACATTCAGCTTCGACCGGGCACAAATCTAAAAACACGTAGGACTCCGTAGGATTGCCTGGCCGTCAAGTCGGCATTCAACTTGCCTGTTATTGCGGAGTGATGGGGTAATTGTGACTTGCGAGAATCTATACATCTCAGCCTCGAGACAGCATATATGAAAAGCAGAACACGCACACGAAACGAAAACGGATCTTCGGTAAAACGACTTCATGCTGCGCAGCAATCCTCTCATGCAACTCCACAAGTTGCGACAACCATTTTCCTTCAATCTCACGCGTCAAGCCATCCAGCATCTGCTGGCTTGACGCAATAAGTGTACCGCTCTGCTTCTCTAGCATACGCAGATCCATACCCATCGCCAATCCAGGCGCAGTGTCTTCCGGCTACGTCCGTAAGGCGCTGAGAGGAAATAAGGCACCACAGTGGCGGCCGAGGCGGACGACGCGAAGCGTTAAAACCTAATAGACATATGTATATATATATATATATATACATAGTATCTTCAGATGTATTATCATTTTGTAAATGTTATATTATGTTGTATTGTCGTGTAACTTTACCATATGGTAAACCTGAAGCATGAAGCAACTGCTGCTCTTGCTGGCTTCCTTCGTTTTCTGGCTCAGGCTGGCACTTGATGCAGCTTCCCGAGGATGACTGCCGAACCTGCGTTGAGCAGACGAAAGAAGAGGCAATACAGGAGCCTCAATAGCTAAAATAGGGTTTGGGCCCCACTTGTTACAAACAGAATAAGGAGCCCCTAGGATAGTATTGGTGATGATTAAGGCCCAGGTACTAGAGTAGAGCCTTCAGAGCAGAGCAGTCGAGGCCTCCACAGGAGTCTTCAGGCCCACTTTCTTCATGGCCGCACCGTTCTGGTTGGCCCCCCGGCAGTAGTTGAACCTTGAAAGCCAAGAAGGTCTAGCTTGGAAGTCTATCATCCCGACAACGGAGGATGATTCCGCAATGCCAACGTGCTTGTGACGAGAAGGCGGAACTCAATCTTCTCTTTGTGTTTTGGCCATTTTGGCCATATTTCCTCTGAGTCTTTCATGTTTCGGGGCCTTTTTTCACCCCTCCCCAAAGCAACAAGAAGGCCCTTCCTGCTTGGGGGCCTGGCTCCACCCAGCCGCGCACCCAGGCGCGCGCACGCCGCGCGTTCGGAACCTCCAGGCGCCTGGTACATTTTGTGAGGGAGTACCCTAGCCAAAAAAATGTTAACCTTGTGAATTATGGTAGGATGAAACAAACCCCAAAAAAAGGTTAAAAGGTTGCCTGCTCAGCTACTAAGCTTTGGAAAGGATCCGTTAAAAAGGCTCCATTGTAAGCATAAGGATTCCCAGCGAGGTTTTGGGGAGTATTGGCTTTAAGCATCGTTCATCGTGTTCATAAGTGCCTCCGACGCAAGCACTGCACTTCACTAGGCATGTGCAAAAAAAAAGCCGCCGTAGCCACTGCGATCAAACTTACCGTGTCCCCCCTTTGCATCCTATCAAAGTGTGAGAGGCGGGCCAAAGCTCGGGTCCCACCAGGGGCAGCAGAAGCTCTTCGAAGTCCGAGCCCTGATCCAGGAGAAGCAAAGCAGCAAAATCATGGGATAAAGGTGAATCTACAAGCGGGTGCGAGGTCGGGGCCACTTTGGGTCCGAGGGGAACAATATTTAGATACACTAAGGAACACTGCTAGGAGCTGTTCCGACTTCTACGATTATTCTTCTTGTGTTTTGGAGGCTGTGATCAAGGTCCGGCCTTAGCTACGAGCTTCCAAGAAAGGGAAGGCTTAGGCAGGCTTCAGGGCTTGGGGTCTTAGGGTCAGCAAGAGAAAGTGCACGCATCAGGGCTCGCAAAAAGCCTTCAGCATGGGCTTGGATTCTGTGGGACGAGGGATGCAAACGTGGGAGTGTCCCTCAAGTCTCCACCCCTGAACTCAAAAGGCTGGCTACTAAGGCTTAAGCTGACAGATCCTTCTCCGGTGGGCCTCAGCTTGACCAGCCACAGTAACTTCTGGAACATCCTGGGAAGAGCAAGAGTGGGCCTAGAGTCGAGGTGTCTTGGCTTTTTGTGCTCCTTGTTCGTATGGAGAATGGTACCTTCATCCTCTTGCGCCAAGAGCAATTGTCTAGGCTGTCCAGGCTAGTCCACACCAAACCCTCTGCAGCAGGTCCCCGGCGAGGCCGACTTGCAAAGCAAAGTCCAAGACGACGGCTAGTGCCTCCCAAAGATCCGTGTGCTCTGAAGATGTATAGAACCCTTACATCTATACCTGAAAGTACAGACACGGCTAGCAGCTGATGCAAGCGACATGCAGGGAAGCGCCCGAGCTTTCTTCCGGCGAAAACTTTGGAAAAACTTGGCCTGAGAGGATCATCCTGGGGTCCCTGACACTTCGTATCCAAGGGGTCACCCGTCTCTTTGCAGCGCGCGACGCTTCTCAACTCCCCCATGTTCGGCACTTCGGTGCCGGAGTTGCTGCCAATACCTGATGCTACTATGTATGAATGTCGCATGAATCAATGAACACATGAATAAACACACAAATCAACCATTAAAGAATTCAATTTATGCACAGATAATTGGAAAAACACCTGAAGATTCTTGTAGTTGTACATACAGAGAGCCCCAGAGTGGTTGAGGGTAGGACTCTTGGCAGAAGCATCCCCAAATGAAGTATCCAAACACTTGTAGCAAAACAACCCGCATCACTAGCCCTTCGGTCAGCTCAGAGAGTGGTGAGCTCCGTCTCTTTGCTCTTGAACTTCGCATCCTCGGTTGACGTCTTCGCTCTGAAGACGGGTTTCGTATGAACGAACTTGGCTTGAACGTGCCGGAGGCCTGGGTTTTGCTGTACACTCCGCACTCATATAGTGACTTAGGCAACTCAGGTTAAGTTCCTCAGGAAGAAGCCACCTTGGTCCATATAAGACTTTGCCAGCGTTTGCTGCTGAGCTTCGATGTCACCTACGCTTTTCTTCACAAAGTCCTCGACGTCCTGGCCCATGGCACGTACCTCAAGAAGCTGCGCACTCCAAAAACCCTCCCTGTTCCTGGGCCATCGCTCCGAGCTCCGCACGGTGTCTTCTGGGAGCTTCTTGTTGAAGCTCTTGATCTTTTTCATTGCTGCTTGCCGGACGTTCCGGACCGCGACCTGTCGAAGTTTCAGGGGAACAGGAGCACAAAGAATTCACACGTAAGTTTTCATGGTGGCACCAAACAACAAAGACATTTTGGGGCTCTTGTCGAACATGTGTTTCCTTCGAGACCTTGGACTTCTCCGCATAGTCCTTGGCCAGCTTAACGTATTGCACGCGCTTCTCTTTCGTGAGTGGGGGGATGTTCACCTCAGCTGTGCTCGAAGCCCCTCCCCGGCGCTGCCCCCTTGTTCCTGCAGCTGTCGCGCCTTCACTGACTGGCCCATCCTAAGCTGCCCGAAGACACGGAAAGCCCTACGTCGAAGCAGAATGTCTCTAAGGTTTGGTCTCCGAAGCCGTGAAACCCAGATCGGCCGTCTGGATGGCCTCGAGAAATCGAACAGATCCGTGGAAATGAAATGACATAAAGAAACATAATGGAACTACATATAATTACACACATACCTGCATCTGCCTGCATACGGTAGAGTGTGCGTGTGTGTTTGCATGTCTGCGTATGGCATACGCCAGTCGTATTCAGGCTTCGAGTAAATGCTTTCTCTCATGCGGGTAATTATGCAACACCTTCACGACGGCGCCCACGACGGTCTCGTCGAAGACGTTCACCATCAGCGTGGTGGTGTCAGCTGCCTTGGAGCGTTCCCAAGCGCAGACGCAGACACGTAGCAAGTTATGAAAGGGAAACAGATTGTTCCGATAGATATGTACCTACCCACTTGCCCACATACCAGTCTACGTACCTAACTACCTGCCTATCTGCATACTTGCCTACCGACATACATGTACATGCTCATACAGACACACACACACACATACACAATTACATGCATACAGGCGTATGCATACATATGCCAACATAATGTACGTCCACCCCCTCGCCCATCCATCCAGAACTATAATAGTTCAGATGGGGACGCATGACTCAAATTCTAAGTAGACATACGGTAGGCGTCAAGCATGGTGCGCAGCATACATATGTACAGATGGGCTGATAGATAGATCGATAGATAGATAGATAGACAGATACTGTACTGGACATGCTATCTACATGTTTTCTTCATTGTGTCACAGTTTGGGAATTCTCCGGGCAAGCCAAAGCAACCTGGAGCCCTTGTGCAATGGCAGGCTCTGCGGAACACCATGTCCAGTAGAACATGTTGTGCAATAGAAAGGCATGGGCAAGAAGTTGTAAAGATATGAAGGGCTTGGGCTGTTGACTCGGGCTGTGGCGGTGACGGTCGCAACCTCCTCGAGTTTCAGAACGGACTCGTAAGCATTCACCTGCGCAGAATGCTGCGCACGTTGGGGCGTGAAGGAACGGCGTGGGCACAACTCGCTTTTGGCCGCCTTCACGCTGTCCAGCAGGGAAGGGGTTGCCTGGGGGCGGAGCTGGACTCAGCAGCGCACGCTGAAAGCCTAAGCCCGTGCTTAGGGGCACCTTTCCGGCTCTGATCGTCCTCAGGTTATCCTCGAGGAGGACGACGGACTTCTTCATTTTGTCCTCACGGCCCCGGCCGGCCCGGCCCGCGGCGCGGAGTCTTCGAAGAGCACCAGAAAGGGCCCAGCTTCAGGTCCTCGAACTCTGCGACGATGGCCTCGGTGTCGATGTCTACGTCGCCTGCCGCCGTAAACTTTCAGGCTTCGGAATCCATGTGAACACATGTTCATGAAGAGCTCTTCTGCTCTAGATTCTAGATCTGTTGGTCCTGGCAGGACTGACCTTACAAACATGTGAACATGTCACGAAAGAGGAATACCAAACCAACAGCCGTTGGAAGGAGGAATGCCTTGAGATGATGGTGCTGCCTCGAGCGCTTCCCAAGACCCAGCCTTCCTCAGCAGCTCCTCCGCCACCGCCACCGCCACCACCGCCACCGCCGCCACCGCCCTTCTTCTTCTTGGCCAGACAAGGCGTCCTTGCTGCAGGCGCAAGCCAAGATGGTCAGTGGCGTCACGCAGTGGCAGCGGCTCTCCTCTGAACTCCGCAGCGTGCTTCCTTTTGGCAAGCTGCAAGGACACCCGCGAGGCTTGCAAGCCCAGCGGAGCCACATCTGCGCAGGACAAAAAACCCACTGACTGCTGTGGATGCGTGGATGCCGGGGCCCGCGCATCGCTGCAAAGCCGTGAGAAGTGGTGCCCAAACCTCTCATGAAATCATCCCTTGGGTCGCCCCCCCCCCCCCCCCCCGGGTCCCCTCCAGAGTCCAGGGCCTTCAGAGCTTGAGGAAAGCATCTTCTGCGCCGGCTTCAGGTTTCTGCACCAGAGCATCGTAGCAATATCTCCCCTTATACAGGCCCTTTAGATACCCGCGGCTTTCGGTTGATATCCCTCAACCTCGCTTGGACGCGGTGACGGTGAGATCACCCTGCAGTGGAGTTCAAAAACTGGCCTGGCGTGGGGAGCAGGTGCCAGAAATCCCGGCCCAGACCTCAGGGAAACTCAGTGCACCCCCCCCAAATCCCCCAAACAGACGAATCTGAGGTCCCTGGCAATGTGCAGGAGGCCAACCTAGTCGTAGTGCAATGGTTGTTGTTGTTGTTTCTGCTGTTCTCTTTGAGCGGTGTTCCTCCTTCTATCCTGAAGGACTAGTCTGAAGTTTTGCATACGGGTTGTCTTTATTCCATCAGCGCATCGGTTCTATGAGCTCGGGGCAAGCATGTGGCGAGGAAGCCGCAGGAGAGAGGCCTCCTCTGCAAACAGTCCCATCACCCAAAAGCGATGCTGTTTGGGGCTTCGGGGGTGGGGGGGTGGGGGTGGGGCAAAGCCAGTTCCCGCCTTGTTCTCGAGAGCTGCATGATGGCCTAAGTCGACTTCAGTGCAGGTGCAACGTGGCAAGTGGCAAGTCAGGTCCGGTAGAACTCTAAGCTGGAACCCTCTAGCCTTGCTTCCCTCCCTCCAAGCTCGGGGCTTGTGAAGCCAAGGGCACCGGGTCCGCGTCTAAGGCAGCCAAAACGGCTGCAAGAAACCCGAAGACGCGCGCGAGCGAGAGCAGCCCCCTAACATGCCAAGAGGAAGAGTGAAAGTGAGAGGAGGGAGAGACACTTCCGAAGGGCGAAGAAGGCCCGCCCCCCCCCAGGCCTCTGGCGACGTCTTGGCTTCGATGGCGTCTCCTTGCTCTTGGAAAGCTTCGGCCTCGGAGCAAAGCGCTAAGCTCAGCTGCAAGGTCCCTGAGAGGAGAAGAGAGAAGAGATGCAGAGGAGAGGAGAGAGGAGAGAGGAGAGAAGAGGCGAGTAGAGAAGAGTTGAAGAGAAGAGCGAAGAGCAGAGGAGTGACTGAGAGAAGGGGAGAGGAGAAAGAAGTGACGAGCAATGGCCGAGTCGAGTCGCCCCTCCCTTTCTCCGCTGGCGCGTTCGCCCAGGCTTTCACCACACGCTCCCGCCAGTCGGAAACGGTTGAAGACTCATACAACCCCTTCAGTACAGCATCCTGGCGGTGCCCAGAGGCCCGCATCTCAGCCGCCCATCCTGGAAGGACCTTAGCCACTGCTGAAGCGTCTTTTCTAGCTTGGCAGCCATTTGAAGCTCTTTTCTCCCACTCTTCTGCTCGCAACATCTACTCTTGTAGCAGCTCACGCCAGTTGCACGGAGCCCTGAATCCCTAGATGCCCTCCCCTTCTCGGAAGAGCTTGGGCGGATCTGTGCTCCTCCGAACTTCCTGAGCAGCGGCTTCTGCTGCGGCAGCTTCTGCTGCAGCTGCAGGCCCATACCCAAAATCGGTTGTTTCAAGCCAGCGATATCGCCACCATTTTTCCTGCGGTACGCAGACCCACAGGTCATGCACAGGCAAGACCAGGATGCAGCGATAGCTCCAAGCCGTCAGAAGCTCAGGTGCAGTTGGCTCACCATGCTCACATGCTATCACAGGCCGATTCCGCTCAATGGTCTCTTGGCCTCCGCGCAGAACCTTGTCCAGTGCCCCCTCCACATCAATCTTCATGAAATGCACCTGCTCAATCTGGAAAGAGTCCAGGGTCTCCACCTTCACAAACTCTTCACCCTCGTACTGCAGGACATGATTTTCACCGTAGACCGGCTTCGCCTGATAGTAGACGCTCGTGGCACCGATGTTGCTCGAGCGCTTCAGCGCAGGGCTCTGCACGCGCAGGATTTCGGATCTCTCGCCCAGGGCCACGTTGCGAGTGTAGACGTTGTACAAACCATTCAGGGCCACGTTGCCGGTGAGGAGTTGAAACACGATCCGGAAGGGCTCGAAGGCATGGACGCGGCCCTGTTCACCCACGTGGAAGGCTAGAGGGATGCTATAGCTCCCCACATGGGAGCCTATGTCGCAGACGACGTCCCCCTCCTTCACCAGATTCCGAAAGACCTCAAGCTCCATCGGCTCGTAGGTGCCTTCCTTCCGGATGAAGTTGGAGACGACGTAGTCATAAACTGGGGTGATCCAGTAGAGAGGCACCCCGCTGACTGAAGGTACGACCGACACGGGATAATGCTCGCCTGAAAACAGGGCCGGCCGACTCGTATGTGCCCAGTCCGGCAAATCCTTGCGCCTCGCCAAACACGCGTGGAATCGTCGGTACAAGGGTTCCGACGTATTCTGCTGCCAGTCGAATCTGCGGACAATGGAGGCGCAGCCAGCATGCGTTGCCCAGGGCTTGTGGTAGGACCCCGGATTCGTGTTTGGGTTGGCGGCGAGGGCAGACACGAGAAAGGCGAGCTGGGCCACCAGCGCTGATGGCTTCATCCTAAAACTACATAAGTTTAGGTCCGAAACCAAGCTTCCGAAGTCAAATCTGATACTCGAGAGCTCCATGTTGAAACCCTGCGGCGCAGCTGATTCCTAGGCGGCACTGGATTCCCGTAATCATCCCAAAACATGTCATGTCACCAAGCTGCAGCTCTTGATCAATGCACCCAGTCGGATCTGTTGAGGACTGTTGAAACACAAGCTCCTGCACAGCTTGCACCCAGCGTCTTGCCTAAGGAGAGGGCAGGCCGGCAGCAAGATGAAAGAGGCACAGCCAAGGCGAAACTCAGCCAGAGCTTCTGCAAAAGACGCTGTTATAAGGCGGGATAGCACACGTCCTGGGAGCCTAACCGGCTGCAGAGTTTGTCTGAGATGGAAGTACATTACTGCCAACAACTCATCCTGGTCCTAGCAATGTGACCGGAGAGGATGCCATTTTCATCGTCAATGCGGTTCGGCAAAGATGATTCCATCTGTGTTCGTCTGCGTTATCCAGCCCACGGAGCCATCGCTCAGGGCTTGCACCTTCATGCGCGTCAGCCCAGACCTCGGCGGCCGGCGGCTGGGGGCTGCGAAAAGGCCAAGCAGAGGCTCAGCACGCGGCTCGAGGTGGTTGGAAGGCCATTGCAGCACTTCCACCAGCTCCCCCTCCCGCAGGCGCCTGAAGCCCTGGCAAGTCAAGCGAGAAAATCCTTCTGACAAGGGCCAAACTCACAAGAAAGTTCAAATTAGTTCTGTATTTCTTAGGACTCCACAGTTGAAAAAGGGCCTACTCTTTAGCGGTGGGCCCTTCATCAGGCCTCATCGGGCTCCTCTGGCTCTGGGGAGTCCACGTGCTTCAAAAGCTGAAAGCCCACGGGCATGGAGAGCTCATCCTCTTGCGCCCCCCTGGAGTCTCCATTTTGGGGATCGGCTCCCTCTGGGTCTTCGGGATCGAAGTTTTGCGTCTCCTCCGGCTCCTCCAAAACCAAGTTTACGTCTTCCTTCATGACGATCTCGGGCTCTCTGGTCGGCTCGCCGAGCCCATCCTCCCTTTCGGCCCTTTCCTCTTCCTCTTCGAGGCCCAAGGTTCGCTGCAGGTACTTTTTGTCCACAGGTCGCTCAAACTTCTCCGTGAGCTGCACGTCGCGGAGGATCTTGAAGAGTGCCCGCCAATCCTGCAGCCCGGCCAAGTTGGTCAATGGAATGAACACCACACTGGCGCTCAGAAACACTCCTGGAGGTGCGCCACACCGTCGGTTCCTGGCGCACAAATACACTAAAACAGCCTACAGGAAGGTGCACTCAGAAGAAGCCTCTTTCTACCCTCACACGCCCCTCAAGAACTATCCCCTTCCTTCCCTAGGCGTTTTCCGGGCTCGCTTCGCCTCGGAGCGTCATGAAGCCCTCCATTCCGTCGGCCATGAAACGGCATCGAACTCGCCAGACCTGGCCGCCGTTGCCCGCTCTGTGCTATCTACAGTCCGCTGCCTAATATGTCTCCGCGTTCTCTCCGTTTGACCCAGACGTCTCGTCCTTATATGTCTGCCTGCCTGATTTGACAACCTCGGATCGTCCCAACATCGTAAACGACGCTCTGACGAGGCGAGAACTAATTTCACACTATGGCCCAATAATGCAAACAGATGCCCCACTATGACTTTGGAAGAAAATTCTGCAAGCAGCAGCTACATACAGGCCAACTACAAAAAGACTGTGAGAACTAGAACTGCCAACATCCCCTATCCCATTTACACATAAGACTCCATTGAAGCCCTAAATACGGCAAAAGGGTCCCCGGCACTTTCTCATTAAATCCCAAACCGTCAGTACCTCTCGCTAGGGTCGAGCCGAAGCACGGCCGAAGGGGCCCTCATCTTTCAAGACAATCCCTGAACGTAAACCCGAAACCCTCACCTCCATGGCGAACATAAGCTTTTTGACATTCGCCCAGCGGGCCTTCATCTGGGACTCTTCAATGGGACCCTCGAGGAGCTCTGCGACCTGGACACAGGAAAGGGAGGCTCCTTCTTCAAACCGAGAAGCAAGAGGAGGAAGCATGATAATGATACTCGTACAGTGACGATGAAATTCAATGATGATGTCTTCTAAGGCTGTGATAATCACTCTCACACACACACACATACACGCCGCAGTGGCGAGAATGGGAATGAGTCACTCTTCCTCCCAGGCAGGGCCCTTCTTGTAAAGACGTGGCCCTGTACTTTGCGCTGCGAGCCCTTGTTCTGGCTCTTGGCCTGGGGCTCGTTCGGTCATAGTCCTAGTCCAAGACATTCGCCGTTCTGCAAGATGCTACAAGTATCGTCGTTTCCAGATCCTGTCGAATCCCTGGCATCGTGGCAGACACCGAAGTGGCAAGGGCTCCCTGCACCCCGTCACGCCTCGTCCGGCTTCGCCTGCCGCAGGCTGTTGCTGCCCGTCACTTGCAGCTCCGAGGTGATGGGGCCCTCCTTGACCACCTGCAGGGTCTTGAAGTATGTTGGACTCTATCCATCTGTCTATCGCTTTGCAGGATCTGGCCTTCAGGTAGCAGCGCATGATCTGAGTGAAAGCATCTTCCGAGAGCTTGTTGCTTCCGGGCGCCTCAGGTACTCTTCGGTTTGTGATGTCGCAGGGTGCGCAGAGCGCCGACGGTGTAAACAAAGGCGCGAGAAGGCTCTTGAAGAGTCGGGACAGAAGCTCATCTGTGAACTGCACCGGCTCCACGACCTAAGTGCAAAAGGGTTCGAGGATCTTTGGGTCCCCCCAAACCGTATCAGGGCTCATTCCACGGAAGGTTTCGAAACGTTACACTCACTTCGCGCTTCGCACACTTCTGGGTGACCGGCCGCCTTCCTCGGAGCCTTAGGCTTCGAGGGCAGAGCAGGTACCGGCGGCTCTGGCAGCACCTCCTTGGCCGACGCCTGGAGTCAGACAGCACCCCCTTCTCCAAGAGCTTTTTATGATGCAGGGCTGCCACACCCCCCCTCCCCCCCCACCCCATGGTATCCTCCCCCCTTGCCCCCCGCCCCCCTGTGGTGTGGGGTCTGTGGTGGTACTCTTTTTGCCGCGACGTTCTTATGTGTTACTCCTTGTCTTCCCTCTTGCTGTGGCACCGGTGATACTGCTCAAGATGCTGTGCTGCTCTAGACCGGGACATGAGTCGACAATCAGACCATGCTCAACACCATCCTTGTCGTCGTCCTCTTCATCATTAATACCTTCAAAAGAATATCTGCCACCATCACCATCGCCATACAACCCTCATAATTCAGCATTGCAATTCATGTCAGATGCTGGAAACTACTGAGCCGATTGCCGCTTTCCGCACCAGGGCATAGAGCGACACTCGTGCACAAGGTCAAGGGGCGGGCAAAGTGCGGGCGGGCCGGGGGGCGGGCCGGGGTGCAGGGTGGGTGGGCGTGCAGCAGCGGGGGGGGGGGGGGGGGGGGGGATACCATTGGGGGGGGGGGGGGCGGCCCGGGACCCCAGAGCCTTTTTTTAGCAGCTAGAGCAGCTAGGCCCAGCTAGGCCTGGGTTCTACCGTTGTAAAATGGGCTAACTGGCAAACCTTTTGCAACGTAGGGCAGATCGAAAGCCATTCTTGGTGCAGCTCCTCATCCAGAATGCTTCGCTCCATCGACATGAAGAAGAGCGAAAACTCCTGCACCAAGAACTGCTCCATGTCGTGGACCTTTTCTGACCGTCTCCTTCCCCGTTGGCCACCCCTTCTCCTGGGAATCGATGACGCCATCTCCACTGGCATCCATCTCGCTGTACCTGCCAAAGTCGAGCACCCTTACTCAAGTGTGGACGAATTTCACGGACGTGAATTGCTGGATCGTATCGCTCAGTACGAACACGAATCATCAGCAGCACTTGGGACACTACGGCCAAGCACTGCCGGCAGGAGCAACAGTAACAGGGCACAATTGCTGCATGTTCCGGCTTCTCTGCGCTGCATAGAGCCGTGCGACCTTCCGAACTGGCAGTTGCATCAACACTGATTTTCAATCCTCCGCAACCCAAGCGTACTAAAAACAGCTTGCATGTCCGTGTCTCGGCAAGGCCTTGACGGCAAAGAGCCGCGCTCCGTAGAGTTCAGAGCGCTGCCTCTGCAGCACCTGCGCCCAGGAAGGCATCGAGAAGATTTTCCACACTCGCACTCGGACAAGCCAGGCAAGGTCTGAGGCTGCACTTAACACTTCAACCCCTCCGGCCGTCGGATGAAGCCACAACTCAGTCGAAAATAGGACAAGCGAACCTACAGCCAAAACGGGTTAGTTGGTCACACAAAATTTTATGCTGTATCCCATGCACAGCATCACATCAACGAGTTTTCTATTTGTATAGACACACACGCGCATATATACATGCACATGTATGTATGCATATACGCACATACACACATGTGTGCCTGCATGCGCGCGCGTGTTATATATATATATATATATATATATATATATATATGTGTGTGTGTGTGTGTGTGTGTAAAATGCTTTTGTGTCCGTGTAGCTGCCCGGCTGTAATCGGCATGTACGTGTTTGTGTCTGTAGCGCCGCGGGTCTCCACGTCTGTGAGGAAGAGGGAGTCCGGGCGAAGGTCGGGATTGGATGTCCCAATACAGGGGCATTAATGAGTACATATCTATGTGAAGTCTATGTCATCCATGTGTCTGAGTCTATGTACACGTCTTGGCGACACCGCCGCGGCACTTGTCTATGTACCGGTCTATTTGCATGTGTCTATGTATGCATCATAAGCCTTGTTGCCTGCCCTACAACTGACACATCTGGCATAGCAGCACGTGAAACTTTTATCTGGTTTTGCATGGGAAACCATCATAATAAGGCGTTTGACATGCTATTCTCCACACCACCCACCACGAACAAAAACGCAAGCAGCCCATGAACCCTGAAACACGGAAGTGTCTCTAGCACATGGCGCCTCACTTTCGAAGCGCCGGCACAGGTTCTCGATGCGCCGCAGTCGCAAGTCAAAGCGGGCCATCCTCAGAGGTTCCCAAGTTTGGCTTTCATTTGTGAGCCTCGGGTGTCGGCGCTCTCCACTCGGAGATGCCAGGAGAGGCTGGGGTTTCTTTCGCGCTCTCCGCACTCGGAGATGCCAGCCGTTCTTGGTCTGCAGTCTGAGGCGAGGGTTGAGGCTGCAGAGGGGCTACCGACGCCTGCACAAAAGGGGTTCAGGGATTCAGCCCTCAGTGAAGATGTTGAGGTCCCCACTGCTTGGAGAGAACCCGAAGATCAGGAATCAGGAGGTCCTGGCAAAAACAGATTGGGAAAAACTCAAATTCAAGAGAACTCGAAGCTTCGAGGGCCCCCAAAAAGGCCTTTACATCTTCCAGGTGACGCTCTTCAAAGCCGCTTGGCAGGTCGTCGATCTGCTGCTGCACAGCACCGGCCACGTCCCGTGCATCCTGGCAAACTTCGGCTTTCCAGATTCTGCTCAAAACGGAGCCAGGGAGATTGGCCATCTCGGCTGATTTGCTGAACCGTTTCAAGATACAACCTGTTTCTTGTAATTCGGCCTGGTTCCCGACATCCACAGAACAGGGTTCGGGTTGCTTACACTGGCTTATACATTGCGGGGAGCTTCAGAGGATCCTATTTATGAGGACCCCTGTAGATAACCTAGAATCCCTAGGGAGAGGCAGAGGGGAGTTAAGCCTGAATCCACATTGAGAAACACGCGCCCTTCTGCCTGCAGAACAGCCTTGCATCCGGCAGTCCGAGCCGGAACGTCCATCGACTTCCGGGCCTTTCGCACAAAAAGCGCGCAGAGAAAAACTCGGACTTCGACTTTAGAGTTCGGGGCTAGTTGTCGAGTTGTGGTTTCAGCTCTCTTGGACCCGCCGGATGAGTCGGCAAGGCGAGAAGCGACCGAGCCACCGGTGCCACCTAAAGCCCAGCGATGTCAGGCCAACTCAACTAGTCCAGGTCCGGGGCCACTCAGGCATTTCAACACCCAACTTCTCGAAAGACCTCTATAGGGCTCCAGGCCCCATCGTTGATTGTCGCGAAATTTGTTGACGCAGGGAAGCGAGCATATCTAGTGGGAGGAGAGACACCAAAACCCCAGCCGCAAGGCCCCAAGGCAGCCAAGTACCACTGCCTCTTCTTCGAGGGGAGGTAAGGACTTCTCGACTTTGACGACCGCCTCCTCGACGGCTTCCACATCCCGCTCCACTCTTTGGACCTCCCAAAGAGCGATCGTCTTTGTGGCGCTGGGGAATCATGGCAGGTCTTCCGCGGTTTCGGATTCAATTCTTCGGGGCTTCAGGTTGCTCATTCAGGAGCTTCGCTTGTTCGTGCAAAGAAATTCCAGCGTTTGGTACGACGGGTCCTTGGACTCCTGCCGTTGCTCGTGTCAAAGACCTCCACAGACCCGAGTCTGATGGCTGCACCTGGCCTCATCCACTGAAACCTGTCTCATGGGTTCATAACAACGACAACAGGCAGCATCAGCACAGGCACAATGGCAAGTAACCTGACCCAAGTGCCGCGAAAAGAAGGGGCTTGAAGCAAACGTGTCGTGAGGGGCTTGAAACAAAAACGCCCATTTGCTTGATCGTTATCATGTATTATCTCGTAATAGTAGTCTTATACTCTTATTGCTTTACCATGAAAGCGCCGTGACTGTGCTTGTTGACCTATCGTTTGACAAGAAAAGTCACCTTCTCACATTCAGGAAGTGCTGACTCTTCAACACGAGAAAGTGGATTGTCATCATCCCCCAGAAGACTCACAACACTGGGGAGTGGACCCTAAGCCCAGCCTAACAGAAACGGATCGCTATTGTCGAAATCTTCAGAACAGGAGCCCCGCGGAACTTCACTCGCTTTGGAATCCAAACCCGCCCGGCCTTGGTGTCAAGCTGCGCCCGAAGGACGGCCCTCACCTGACGAGAAAAGCCGCTTGCATCGGCAACCCTCAACCATCCACACACTCTTGACCCTGCAGGGTTCAACTCGCAAATCAAACACAAGTTCTGATTCGGCTGCAGGATCAAAAGACGGTGATTGGTCGGACCCGACGACAGGTCTGCAATCAAAACGGTGCGCGCGCGCCCATGCACGCCCCAGAAATGTTAAGGCAGACGTGGAATGGAGCTTCTGTGGAATGGAGCTTCTGTAAAGGAGACAGGGACGCCATCTAAGCCAAGTGCTCTTCTGATTATATAGCCTGGCAGTGACCTCTCTGCAAAGGACCCGGGGCCTTGTCGCGGGCTTCCCGTTGCTCTTTGCGCCGCCTTTCATTGGGGCGAAGGTAGAATCGAACTTGCAAGGGATTGGTGTTAGCATTGTCAGGGACCTCGATGTGATCGCTGTACTATCAGAATCAATATATTCAGGAGGCCATAGTCGGGCAACCAGGAGTGCAATGCCCAGCTCACTGGGAAGCATTTTTTGCTTCGGGGCTCCGTTGGATTTGCCCGGCGCATAGCCACTATGCGGCCATGCATGTAGCATTAGAGACTCAACGACGACACGACGACTAAGCGAATCTGATCCAAGCTACAGTCGTACTGAAGCAATGCCATGTACGACATCATCACAGAAATATCAGTATCACACCACTTCGATGTGAGACATGCGAAGCTCAGGCCAAATGCCAGCGACATCTCAATAATCAATGAATCCGAGGTGCTGGTCCCGAAGGAGCTCCCGTTGCATGCCCAGCTTGCACTTCAGCACATGGAGCCTCCGACAGCATCCGCACTTCAACACGTGACTGCCGAAGCCCAGCAAGGGACCTTTCGAAGAGGACGCCCTTCTGATCATCTACGAGTCGGGGCCAGAGCTTGTCCAGAACCTTGGACGATAAGTCAAGGCCGCCTCCCCCTTTGCCCTTTGGGCAACGCCTCTTTCCTGGCCCCCCGACTTCCACGGAGAGCGTAAGCTGGAACTCAGCTTTCGCGAAGGCCAGCACCTGCCCACTAGCACTGCTAGCACTTGCGACTGAAGCCAGAACCCTAAAGCCTCATGCTACGGGTAGACCTGTGCTCTTTCCATGCAGCAAGCCGTCCTCCTGCTTGGAGAGCATCTGGTCGCCGTCCACATCGTATTTGTTGAAGAGGTCCTCATCATCCGGTGACAGATCAAAGCTTGAGCACCGGGCCGAAAACCGAAACACACTATCAGTCACTATCAGAAGCCCCAGCAAAAGATCCGAAAATGGCCGGCCTGGAGCTTCGAGGTCTCTTGCGATGCCGTGGCACGTCGGGCAACAGCCAACTGCACGGCTCGCGAGGCAGCGACGAGCGCATCGCTGAGTTTCGTGCACCTCAGGATTGTCACGATCACGCGACATCACGCGACTACGCGACACGAGACGAATGAGCCGCTGCTCCCACCCAACTCAGGCGGCCGCTCATTGATACGCGAGAGGCATTTCGCCATGAGCTGCTTGATCTCCGAGGTGCCCACAACTCCGGCTGCGGCTGAGGGTGGATCCTGACCGATGAGACTTCGAGGTTTGCGGCAAAACGGGCACAGTCGGGCTCCTTCATCTCCGGCCCGTTTTTCACCAGGAAATCCATCTCAGTACGGCGCATCTTCTGTGAACTTGTGAGCTCCATGCCCTGTAAGACTGTTACAGAGCAGGGAACCTGGAAATCTGGTGCGGGAATGTCTGCATACATCTGTGGGTGAGCGTTTTCATGCATGCAAGTGCATGCAGTCTGTGTGCTCTTTCGATCTACTTACAGTTGTCTGCGACCAGAAGCATTCGGAATTCCAATGTAGAAACGGTCTTTTCCAAGGTGGAAAACACCGGCTCCGAGGTGCGGACACAATGCTTCACGAGGTCCCGGGTCTCAGTGCCGGCGGCCTCCACGGCCGCAGCACATTGGTCCACCTTTTCTTTTCTGCAGGGCAGCTGGGCAGAGGTATACACGCCTTGCCTTCTTTCACCCTAAAGCTCGGGCATGCTCAGTGTTGGAAGCACCGCACCCATATTATACATTGACGTGCCTGTAAATCTTTACGAGAGACTCAGACAAACATTTACGTGCAACTCTGACAGACGCGGATGGAATCTCACTGATACGAAAGGGCGTCAAACATGCTTCGTCGAGGCGATCGCCTCCTCTTGGCTCTGCGTGTCCCCTTGCTCCAGGGGAGCACAGACCTCCTTGAGGCGCTCCACCTGAAGCAGTCATTCGGGCTTTCTCCGAACCATATTAGCCTCGCCTGGATTGTCCTTTGTGAGGGTGTCGTGTTTCAATGATTCTTTACAGGGTTTATAAGGGACGTTGGGGGGTTTTGGGGTTGAGAGCGCCATGTACGCTGACCCTTGCAGAAAGCTGGGGGCTTTCGGAGGGCATCCTGACCCCTTCCGCGCACCCCAGTCTCGGCAGTATCCAGGAGCTGGCTGAGCTCCATGAGGAGCTCCTTGGGCAGGTTTCCACATATGCAACATATGTAAAACATGATCTGATATGGCAGTGCAGCTGTCCGGTCGCTGTGCCTTGGCGCGCTGCTCCATCTCCTGCCGCTTCTTCTCGTCGGCCTCTTTCTTCTCCTGTGCCTTTCGCTTCGCCTTCCGACAGATTCCGACCGTCGGCATGTAAGGGAAATTAGTGTGAAGGGTCGTCTTGTGAGCGCTTTGACTTTGCCCATGCCTCGTTCAGCATCTCTATGCGCTTCTTCGCCTGGTCAAGGCACTTGTCGCTCTCCGACTTCATATGATCTTTCTGGCTTCCAGTGTCCTGCAGAGACAGAGAGACAGAGAGACAGAGGCGCCGCCAGAGTCACGGCGAAAGGCCTCCCCTCCCCTGCCTCCAGGTGCTCTTTGAGGCACTCCTCCAGCTCCTTCTCCAGCGCCTCAAGGTTCTCTGGAGTGGCCGCAGCCACTTTCTGGATGACCTCAGCCGGAGTATAACGCACACAAAGAGTAGTAGCAGTAGCAGTAGCAGTAGCAGTAGCAAGGAAGCTCCGGCTCCAGCCTTCCGAACCATGAAGACGGCCTTGCCCTCCTTGATCCGTTGCTCCTGAAGCTCCTTCTGGCGCTTCATCTCTTCCTTTTCGGGAAGTGACGTCGCGGCTGCAGTTCCGGCCCTCACGATGCGCCTCCTTTTTCTTGCGAAGCTCCTCCTGCTTCTTGCGAAGCTCTTCCTTCCGCTTCCTCTCTGCTTCCTTCCTCAGACTCAGATGCTACATGAAATGAAACACGCTACACCGCCGACGCCGTGCCGCGAGCAGAGACTGGCCTTTTCTGCTCCTCGGCTTTCTGTCGCTGAAACTCCATTTCCAGCCTGAAGAGCATGCAGACTGACAGCCAGTTCCCGTTCCCCGTTCCCTCTGTCTTCCTTCAGGCCTTCGCTTTGCCTCTTCTTGGTGGAGGCGTGCGTACTCCTCGCAGCGAGCTCACCTTAAATCAAGCCTGTCGCGGGCTCTGAGGAATGGTCCTGCATGTGCCGCTCTGCCGCATGGGGGTCCATGTATGGCATCCCAGGCATCCCCGGCATCCCATACCACATCGAATAAGCCTCGGGCAAGACGAAGAGCAAGAGCAGTGCTCGCACCCATACTCACTACAACTACAATATCTCAGGACCTTCTCACTTCGCCACCTGCAAGGCGCCAAACCACAACAGCGTCAATGCCATGTTCCGCGATTAAACCCACCCTGAAAGCGAAAGCGGGGGTCCGCCCCGCCAAAATCTGGAAGGAGGGGCCTGGAGTGGCTCTTCCACTGGCTTCTCAGGGCCCTCCTTTCCTCCCTTCCCTTCCTTCGCTTCCTTCCCTTCCTTCTTCGCTTTCTCCTTCTTGGCCGTCACCGTGAAGTTCTTGTCCACTGGCCCATCGTAAGGCACCTGAAAAGAACTCCCAGGAAAGCCTCTTTCAACACAGTATCTTGGATAGGCGTCCCTGTAAACCGAAACAATTCAAGTATACAGCATGCCAATATACCCGAACAGATACAAGTACACCGTAGCCCTGTAAACATCTGTAAACCCTGCAATCACAAAACTTTGGATCGATCTTCCGGGGCCTTCCAGCCGGTCTCCGGCGGAGTCGGGTCCTCGCCGGGCTGATACGCCCAGACCTCTGCGCCACGCCAGGATCTAAAGCCGAAGCCTGGGCCTAAGCCCGGAAGGCAAAACCCCCGAACCCTAGTCAAAACGGGACTTCTAAACCCTTGAAGCCCTCTTTTGTAACCCTCAACCCCTAAACTGGACTCTCGTGAACGTGGTCAAACCCGATTTGACCCCCAAGAGAGCCCAAAGAGAGCGTAGCTCTGCTCGGCCTGGTCGCCGCCGACCTTCGGTCCGAACCACCAGCCGGAGAAGTCGGAACCGTCCCGGTCGTCCCAGAAGTAGAGGAGGACCTCTTAGAGACTGGGGAGAGACTGGGGGCGTAATGGTGATATACCTGTAGTCGCTTTACCAGTTTGTACCAGTTTCCTCCCGGAAGGCTTTCAAACAACAGGGAATAACCTAGTGTCTTAGGGTGGGGGGTTGGTTGGGAGGAGAATTTAGGACCGCTGCGCCCGTTCACTCCAACACCCCAGCAAACATTGCAGTTTTGGCAAGACGGCAATTAATAATTTTCTCCGCGGTTGCAACACAAACCGGTCGTGAGACAGCAAATGCAAACAGAATCTGGGAGGGGACAGGCGCAGCTGGCAGGTGGCGACTAGAGCGTGGTTGGCATTGGTATAGCATGAACTTTTAGATTCTCGTATTGACACGAGTCTTGTTACTGGTCTTCTTCTGAGTAGCAGTAGTAGTGTTCGCAATCGAAGTAGTAGTTGCTGTTTGTAGTTGTTGAAACAAGCTGTTTGGGTCCCAAGGCTCGGGAGCAATAGCGCACTCTAACTCTGAAGCCCATAACTTCACCGGCACCGCCCGACCGGAGTCGCTTTTAGAAGACGACGCTCTGAGTCAAGGACGTCCAAGTCATTAAACTTCTCATCCTTTTGGTAGTACGGCCTTCCGGTGCCAAGGCAGTTCAACTCTAGACCTTACAGGGTGGGCTTGCGACAAAGGCCTGCCGTGGTTTTCGCCAGCAAACCTGAAACTGCCACGTACGATCTTCTTGACCATCTTATCTTTCCCACCGGAGACCACGAGTCCTGCGACAATTCTGAGGTCGAGAGCCTACAGGAGATACCAGAAGCGTATTGTAGCATACTGTTTAGCATGGTAGACTGTAGACTGATTACTTGATACCTGATTGCTATCAGCTATCTTTATGTTTCAATGATGTACGGTACACGGTATACTCATACCAACGGCACGATGGTCCTTTTGGCCAGTTCATAGCATCACTATCTCGAGCGGGGGCTGTGGCTTTCTCTTTGGCCACCTGTTTGGCATTTCACAACATGGAGGGAGCCCTCCAAAGGAACCGCAGAAAAAAAAGCCCACCTTGGTCTTGCTCTTTTTGGAACTTGCAGCCGGCTCCTCACGGGCCTCCCGCAAAGAGTGCGTCCAGAGCTAAAGCCCAGGAAAGCTCTGTGCCTTCTTGGAAGCTCCGTAGCCAAAGCCGGGATATTCATACCTTGGAACCCACGCTTTGTGAGCGTGTGCCTTACTTCTCACAAAGTGCCCGAAGAAAGGCACTGCGGCAACAAGCCGCTATGCATCGCGCAACTTGTATTGATTGGCTCCTTCCTGAACAACCCTCATAAGCGTAGTGCCCAGAGAATCACGGCACAGCTGTCCTTCAAGCATCATGTCTACCGGGCTACCATGCATCGACCTCTTGACATTCCGGTCCAATTACGGTATGGCATGACACACCTGTTGATACATGATAGGTCCAGATTGATATACTGTCTTATACTTACTTGCATACCTTCCTCCTTTATTGCCACCCTCCCTTGCCGGGCTCCCGAGCGAGGATGCGGAAGCCGCAGAGGGCGTCAACACCGCAGCCGCATGGCCAAAGCCCGGGAAGCCCCCGTAGGCGGGAAATGCGTACCTCAGAGACAGAGAAGTGAAGGGTCCTATAGAGTCCTACTACGACTAGGCCGGCTAGGTCCAGGTGCTGTTCCAGGTTGGGGCTGAGGGCTCCGGGGAAAGAGTCCTGGTAGCTTTGTCCTAGGTGCCCAAACCTGTTTTTGTGCTTCGGGGCTCCACTGGGCTCGCTCGGCGCATAACCGCAACGCAGCCATGCATGTGGTACCATCGATTTCGTTTCCGAAAGGCGGCTCAAACACTGCACACAGGAGCACAAGAGGATGGAAGGTAGCATGTGAATAGACAAACTACGATTGAGGATGCAGATGCTGATTTTGTTCGAAGAGGGGCTGCAGCCACAGAACCGGTGGCATGTCCCAGCCCTGGGTTTTTTTTGTTGGTCACGACGGTCTACATTACTTGCGAAGGAGGAACATCTCCTGGCGCAGTGCCGCGTGGCCACACCTCGCCAGGAGGGAAAGAGAGCCCCCAGTTTCCCTCAGAACGGGGACTCACATCTGCGCAAGTGACCTCAACCGATGGAAGGACCCGGATGGGAGGAGCACCGCCAGGCTCGTGCCCAAGCATGTCTTTGACCGCACTGGCCGAAACAGCTGCGGGGTGAAGAGCATGGGGCTCATGAGTCAGCGCGAAGTACGGCAGCTCTTAGCACCTCGTGCTGCTTCGCACATCTGAGACCTGGACTAAGGCGACGGCACCTGAGCTTCCCCTCTAGAAACCTGCATGCGCAAGGCGATTCTGCGCTGGCAATCCTCAGCCAGGGACTTCGCACGCCGCCCACAAGGGAGGACCGAAGCCCTCGGGCCGCCTCCGAGGCGACATAGTAGGGCGTAGGACCGTAGGCCGTAGGGACAAATAGGGCTCTGTAGGTGGGATAGATAGACTCCAGAGCTTCAAGGCTTAGGACCCGAGTTTTCTTATGAGCTCCGCATGTCAGTCCGCACGCAGCCCTCGGCGAAATAGACGTGCGGCACTGCCCCGATCTCGGCGGCCGTCTCACCAAAGAAGCTACGGGAGAGGATCAAGACTTGCGCTGAAGCTAGAAGCATGTAAGCAACGTAGGAGTCGACGAAGCCTTGCAAGCCAAGATTGGCGTGGGATCGGTCGACGTGTGCCAACTTCCAGCCATCCGCCTCCTCGAGGACCCGAAGTTTCCCCGAGGCTCGAAGTCTCTGTACCTCAGGCATCTCAAGGGCCGAGATGGTGTCAGCGCTGAGAAACCAGGGCGTGCTTGAAGGCAGAGCCAATTCACTTTCGGCCTGTTTGGCGCAGTCGAGAAAGTCGGGTAAGCTGCCAAGAGAGTGCCGGGAGGGATCCCACCAAAGCCGCGCAGATTCATTGCCAGCACGGAAGTGGATGCCCAAGAAACCAGCCCTCTCGCTGCTTCGGTCAGTCCAGGGAAGCGTCATCTCTGAAATTCCAAGGGTCTCTGCTGCTTGCTGCAGGCGTTGCTGGAGTATTGTCGTGGGCTGGAAGAGGGTGTCCCAAAGCCTCGCGGCAAGGTGGGAGACCTGCTTCAACTTCATCTGCTCGGCTTGCTTCCTCAAGAGCTCGTTCGCCTCGGGTCAAGGGATCATATTATGACAGCAGCCGTCCAGTGTCCCTTTTCAAGCCCGACCAGGATCCCTCATAGCTTAGCGTCCACTGACTTCCACTCCGCAACAGGTCCCGATGCTACGCTGCCCGAGCTTCCTTGCCAAGAGGCCAAGAGGACTTTCAGCTCGCGATGGTTCATGGAAACGTGGAGTATTGGGCTCGGGTCTTCCAACAGCCAGGTCAAATCCTCTTGGAAGGAGATGCGATCATCCAGGTAGAACAGATGGGCCCCTTGGCCGATGGAGCCCAAGCCATGCATGCGCCAGTCCAAGATCGCCCCACCAGACGGACCAGGCGCCGTTCGCGGCTGGAGCAGAAGCGTCAAGGGCAAGGGCGAGTCAAAGTCGATGAAGAAAGCGCGAGAGGTCAGCAGAGCCAGAGTGAAGGCAGACAAAATGCCGTTTGTGCGGTCACCATGGCCACCACAAAGGGTGAACGGGTTGCACACGTAGACCAAGGCACGAAATTGAGTCCTTGCCTCGGACGCCGAAGCCCGAAGTGCCCGGCGGTGGAAATCCAGATATGGGTCCAGGAATGGGAGAATGCCATGACGTGTCCGGAAGGCTGGCAAGGGCCGTCGTCGCTCTTTGACATGGCCTTCCTCAGTAGACGCGGTAGGCCCAAAGAAGCTCAGGCTAGAGCGCGTAGTGGAAGTCTCCCTGGCCCAGCGGATCAGCCGCAAGGGGAGCTCGGCCCTCACTGCCTGGCTCTGGCTCTCGCCTTGGCTTTTTCGGAGGTCGAGGCAGGCCAAGTGCAGCAAGGCGAGATTCCCCCCCGGGCGCTTCTCTTGCAGGTACTCCGTCAAGACGATTTCATTGCCTAAGGTCGCTTGGTGGCGACGCCAAAGGACTTCAACCCGTCCTTTGGACCCGAGGGCGCGTGCCCTTCTCGAGAGCTCTGCAGCCAGCACAGGCCGGTAGTTGGTCTCCCAAGCTTCGCGGAGAGAGTCTTCAAGGAAGAGCACCTCAGTTTCCTCCTCTTCCGAAACTTGGAGGAAGGACATCGCCACATCCCAGGCTGCTTCCATCTCCTCCTGCGAAGTACGGTTCGACAGGAGGAAGGCCACGGCAAAAGTGGGGACACGGCCAACAGGCTGGCTCGCTGAGAGCCCGTGCCCGTGGTTAAAGTTGGGCCAGTGCCAGACCTGTGTCTGCACCAAGGCCGCTTGGGAACCCCAGAAGACTTCCCGGGATGCCCCCATGCCTTGCAAAAAAGCGTAGTCTAAGCTGGCTGTCAAAGCTTTGAGCTGGTACACCAGCTTTGCCAGAAACCGTGAGAACAGGATGGACAACCGATCCACCCAGACATGCCAGGTTCTCACCTCTCCTGCTCGACGTCGGTAAGGGTACACCACATCGTGCGCCAAAGCACGCCGATCCAGATCGGATGGCACGTAGCCTGATTGGGACGCTAGGAGGGGCAGTTGGAAGCACTCTTGCAGGCCGGACTCTTGTGCAGCCTGCTTGGATACCAAATCATTTCTCCGGATCTCTGTTGCAGAGGATCGTAAGTGAATCTGGAGATTGACAAGCCGCTCAAGGTAGCGTCGCTGCATCCTCAGGGCCAGTGACCACGACTTTCCATTCCGATGCAAGAGGCAATGTGACCTGCAAAGCACGGGCGGGGCACAGGGTCTCTGAGGCCAGGAGTGATCTGGAACCGCCCTACAAGAAATAGAGAATCTGGTAACACCTTAAAATTGCAGACAACATCCACCCACACATGGGCTCAAGCCTCAAGGTGAGCGCAACAACTTTGCGCTGGAGGCTCATTCCTTGCAAACCCAAAGGCAAAGCCACAAGCTGCAAAGCTTGTAAACGATCGAGGAAACGGTCCCGCATAAGGGGCTGGCAAGGGCTTTCAGATCTTGAGCGACCGAGACTTTCTTCAATCTGTCTGGCATACTCCTGCTGTTGCTCCATGGTCTTCGCTTTGAAATCCAAGACTAAACCTGTGTATTCCAAGACCGAATCTATCTTGTCCAGGCTGCAGCATGTTTTGTCCGCTCGAAAGCCTTTGTCTGAACCAAGTCGTCTCCAAACGCCAGCTGCTTCCTGTGACGTCTGGTACCGACCCATCTGCCCACAGTGGAGGTGCAGTGGCAGTAGTCCAGCCCATCCGGTGCCGCAAATGCACGCCCATTGTACCCAGCATAGGAGTAGCATGCGCTGGACTAATCTGAAGGAAGCAGCTGCAATGAAGTCTGAGGACCGAGGAGCAGCAGCAACAATTGCAGAAACGTGAACTGCGGGCTTGCGTGCGCATGATGACATACATGTCTCGGCTTGCAGCGCACACTGGGGACCCAACATCTCTTACAGTCGCTGGCATTTTTGCTATGACCTCTGAGATCAAAGGCTTTGATCCATAGCTTGGGCAGCGACGCGGCAAAGCTTTTTGTGACTTGGGGCAAGACCTGTACAGGAAGCTCCTCCTCTCTGCCTCAGCCAAACCCAGAGAAAGCTGCAGAAAAGTCGATTCACGTCCCAAGACGTGTCCCCCCCCCCCCCCCCCCCCCTGACCTGTCGAAGCTAAGATGGCCCCGCGGATGATGTTGAGCCGGATAGGCCTGAGGAGTCACGCAAGGCGAGGCAAGGCGAGGCTGTATTTCTGTCACTGGAGTTTCTTCCTCAGCTCATCTCGAGGCATTCTGGCTGCGCCTCAGCAGTTTGCGGAAATTGAAAGCAATAATGCGCGACTCGGCCATGAGTTGACGGAGATCAAGCGCCGAACTCCCGAAGAGCCTTGGTCAGGTGTCGCTCCACGGCTGTCGCCTAAGCCACTCGAGACCTCCCCTGCGACAAGCTGCAGCAAGAGTTTATGAACATCAGGTGCCCCTGTGGTGTGTCGAACTCGGGCACGCATTCCCGTCTGAGGAACGGGCAGCCCGAGAGTCCTGAAGGAACGTGTCAACAGGGGCTTTCGGGTTATCGTAGGGAAGTCTTGCCATCGGAGCATAGCTGGAGGAGCCCTAGCACCAACACCTGCACGCCACAAAGCCCCCTCTCGTGCATCTGTGGCGCGGGCGGAAACCAGCACAATTCGCTTCATGCCTCAGCGTTCGAAAGACTATCGATGCGTCAAAGCTGGCAAAGCGTGTTTGAAGGGCCCGAGTGGCTGAATCTTACCAAGGTCACCGTTTCTCGACTGCGGTACGTGAATCATCCGGTGAAGCCATGCAGTGGAGCCACTTCCCAGAATCCATTTAACTCATGCCTGATTTAAGGTATCAGATACTCATATATTCAAACCACTTACAGGGCATTGGGCTTTCTGTGTTGCGTTTGGCCGCTGATTCCACACACCGTCATCGGCTTTGGTCTCAATCGGATCTTAGCAGTCATTACACATGTGTATAGATATTGTATACATCCACTTGTACATGTGTAAAACTAAAATATAGACATGATGAAACAACTTTTTTCCAGCTGTATGCCTACACATTGTGTGCACACATACATAAGGTTACAGTCGGACACTCCAGGCGAGGCATGTGGTTCGAGACCTGAGAAGTGAAACTGCGACTACACGGGGATCGGGAGACGTGTCAACAATATACCGCTATAGATAACCCTAACAACAATTCGACGCTCCCCCGCAGAATCCCTAACATGCTGTTTATAATGGACTAGTTCTGCAGATCGCATGGCAGAAGGGTGAAGATGTAGCTCCAAGCCCATAAGGAGTCTAAAAAGCCGGGGGGCTGGCCTTGGGAATTCATAGAGTGTTTTGAAGTTCGTATTTTGCGCTCTTTACCACCGAGGCGGCAGCTCTCCGGCGCCCCTTCCATCAAGGCGGTGAGGCCCAAGCAGGCTTTGGCCTCGGACGCAACGTGGCGCGTATGGCAGGCTGAGAATCGGGCTTTCTTATCATGAGCTCGATAGAAAAGCATAGTTGTAACAGCAGTAGGGCAGTGGGTTACGAGGCTCCCGTTTCGCAAGCCATGAGGTCATCATGAGGCAGTGTGAGATTTCACCGCCATGTCCGAAGTGGAAGAGCCACACTGCTTTCTGAAAGGATGGGAAAGTGTGAACCAGAGACGATTGAAGCGTGTCCGCAAGAGTTCGAGTGGCAAATCTCCTGCCTGCAGCGCCGCATCGAGCTCAGACGGGCAGTGTACCTCAGGCAAGCCGGCTCTAGGAGGTAGTTTGAAGAAAAATCAACCCTGTAGAATCTATACTGACCTCTTCCTTGACGTCTTTCTGTGCCTGCTTGTCAAATTCGTTGAAAGACGGTCAGGTACTTCGTGCACTCGGCACCGACGTCGCACTCCGAAGCGTGCGCGTGAAACGAAGAACGGCGGAGGGTCTTGGACCCTGCAGGAAAGAGCGAAGTTAAGGAAGCTCCCTCCCTTCAGGAGGGCTCAAAGAGAGCTCTGTTGCATTCGCCAAAAGTCTATCGTCATCCACCTTTTAGGCTTGAGCGGTCTGGCGGAGATCTGTCAAAGACTGTTTCATCTCACCGCCTTGGCCTAGAGCTGGGGGTGCCAATGTGTCGATGCCAGTGGATGCCAGCTCCTGGAAACCTTCGAAAGCCGCTTGAACCGACTCCTCGAGACGAGTCATGATCTGTTCCAGCTCTTCTTGATCCTCGACGATCCCCTCTTCCATCAACTTGCAATGGGAGTCTAGAGTTTCCTTGCTCTGCTTCAGCAGGCTCACGAAACTCCGCACCTGGTTCAGCACTCCCAAATGCAGAGTGTTCTTCTCCGACGCTACAAAGCTGTCACAGCCGTCCAACAAGAACTGAGCTGTACTTGCATCACATGCGATCTTGCGAAGCTCCAAGTTCTTCACGATGCCGAAGCCGGGATTTGCATCGGCGGTGGGCACCTCAACGCTCAAGTCCTCGATCTTCTTCCTGCTCCACATCGTGTCTTGAACCGCAGGAATCCACGCAGCACAGCTACTAAGCTACTTTAATGACACAACATGTATATCCCTGAAAGAAAAGCAGAGCGCCCCGGCCTGTTGAGTCGGATGGCCAAGCAGTGCTTTTGAGCAGCCTTCTCCATGGCTTCGCTGGCTTTCGCATTCTGCAAGAGCCCATCCATCAGGTCTTGGTAGGGATTTCCCAAAAAGCAAGCCTTGTACTCACCCTCCCGAAATTGGTCCCTACGCCACTCGAGCTTGAAGAGGAATTCCTTCCAGGACCACCTCAGATCGTGAAGAATCCCAGCGGTTTCACCGCAGGAGTCCCGGATTTGGCAGAAGTGGTCGACTATGATGACAATCAGCAAGTTCATCAGAAGGAACATCATCATTAAAATGAAGAGCCAATACCAGATGGTCGATGTAATGGGAGCAACTTGATAGAGTGCATCGAAGTTCGCCGCGCCCATGAGCATCATCACCGCGCTGGCGCAGCACTGGGGGTACGTGGACCACCCCTCTAACTCTGGACCGAATAGGATTTTCCCTCCAACTGCAAAGTTGTTGAATATGACAAGGAAGATCATCATAAAGTGCAACACGTCCCAGAAGCCGTCCGCCAAAGTGATCTGGATCATGGCTAGCTTGGCTTGCCCTAAGGATCCTTTGAGCATTCTGGCGGTGATGATCGAAGAGTACCAGAAAAGGCTCAGCTGGAAGTAGCCACGCATCACCACGATGGCGTGGGCATCGTCAATGTTTTTGGACCATCTGCTCTGATATGCGATCTCATCCAGGTCGCTGGCCTCGGTCATCCGAGCAAACCTACTACCAGTACAGCCTACCAAGTCAAATTCCTGAAAAAAACAAGCGGCCAATGGCGCTCGAGGAAGCTGCGAGACGCCGGTGGCCAAAACGGCAGTGAACTCCTACAAGGCTCGGCGCAGCATATCTTTGCAGTACTTTTCTTTGCAGGTACTTTTGACCAGGATGCTTGTTCAACAAGCCAACTCACAGCCTTATGGCAGAGTCCTGGATCCAGAGGGAGTAAACAGCGAGAGCAACACCGACCTGACTGGGCGGAAGTTTTGCTCCGTGCTTTCTTTTTTTTGGTTTGGCCACAAATGACCACTATACACATTGATATACATATATATATATATATATATATATATATATGTATGTATGTATTTGTATATATATATATACATATATGTATATATCCCGCCGATATCATGGGCGGGCGTTTCCGGATATGCAAAAAGCAAGCGCGCAGCAGCTGGATCTGCTGCCTGACAGACACAAAGGGACATCACAAATGCGGATGGACAGAGACAACTGCGCAGACAGAGACAGACAGAAGACAGTCAGATTGAGATAGACAACCAGAGCTGGATAGAGAGAGAGAGAGAGAAACAGGCGCGGCAGACAACAGACACACAGAGAGACAGAGACGGACTAGGACAATCAGAGAGACAGATACAGTGGAGACAGACGACAGACAGACGGACGGACAGACAAGCAGACGCAGACAGGCAGACATGCAGACGGACAGCCAGAATGACAGACGCACAGACACTAAGACAAGCAGACATAGAGAGAGAGAGAGAGAGAGAGAGAGAGAGAGAGAGAAAAAAAAAACTTATCAGAGAATCCCTCGTCTAAAGAACTCCTGCTAGTCCGGGCGCCGGACTGCAATCGAAATCCAATCCACCAAGTTCCAGAAGTTCGATATGTAGGCTCCTAAGAACTGGGCTTTCAAGCGCACTGTTGCGACAACGTACGCACTTCCGTCGGACGGCCTTGTTTCTTGATTCTTTTCTTCAAGCACGGACACGAAACCAAACCCAACCTTTCTCAATGCCTGCACCTCTGAGCGATAAACAAATCGAACACACGTACACAGGCACTCGCACGTGCATACCCGTCTCCCCTGATTCCAAAATCGGCCGTCAACCGCAGTTCCGTGGGTCTGAGAGACCGATCCCACCCTGACAGACCTGGAGACTTTGTCGAAGAGCCCTCTCCCTCTCCCTTGCTTATAGGGTGTGGGCAAGTCTGTGCAGCCCCTTTCGGGGTCGAGAGAACACACGTTCCCCCGACTGAGCTTGTACGAGTACACCAAGAACCCCCCCCTGCTTGCGGGGTCTAGGGCCCCAAAGGACCCTTGGCCCGAATGCTTACCCCCCAGTGGCTCGCGGCGGTCTGTCAGCTCGGCTCCTATTCGGGGAGGAAAGAAGTGTTCCTAGTGCCAGTGTGAAACCCACCGAAAAAAGCACCCCTCCTAAACCGTGATCCGTCAGTACCCCTCTCCCAGTCTGTCTCTTGCTTGCTGGCTTGCTTGCGCTATGGGCGCCGGAAGGAACCTCGGCCCGAACTCCAATTCGCGAAGGTCAAGCGGCGCCCCTTTCGGAGATGCGTTTTCCCGCATTCCTCCGAATGTGCCTGTCACCCTTCCCCACGCCAAACCATGACCGTGAATAACCCCCAGGCTCCATCAGGGCATCCGCTGTCACCCTAATTACTGGTCTATGTGGAGTGGAGGCTCTGAGCCCGTGACCGAATCTCTCTCTCTCTCTCTCGCTTTCTCAGTCCCTGGGCTTCAAGTCCACGCTTGCTGTTGCGCGACAAGGGCAGCGAAACACGAGAAGTTACGAAGGAACAGGCTTGAAACCGTATGTTGAAAAAGACAGCTTCTCCCCCTGCTGATACATGGGACCTTCAGAGAACAGGTTTCCCCAAAAATGCAACCCCGAAAAGTAGTAAGCGGGCTGCTAGGGTGAATATCACCGAGGGTCGAAGCTCGCGCCGGAAAGTCGCTTTCAGAACTTCCCAAAGCTCTTGCCTCAGGAGCAGTAAAATCATAACCTGAGCTGTCGAGTATATCGGCCAAGAATTTAAAGCATTCCGTCTTGGAGGGGTGTACCGAAAACCGAAGACATCAAAGTGAACACATTCAGCTACGAAGTAGCAAGCCAGAAGATTTCCGGAAGGAAGTCCATGACAGATGCCTGTCCCGGAACAGCACGGAAGACGTGGCTTCTCACTGTCTTGGTGATACCGCCATCGTTCAACCACTCGAAGGAGATAGACAGGATCACGAAAGACCCACTCTCACCATTGAGCATGAGGGCCTCTATCTGCAGGGACGTGGAAGCTTCCGTTAGCCATCCAACTCGTCGCAACTGCGTAGCTGTCTCTAGCGCATTGCTCAGAGGTCTCTCGACATCGAAATGTGCGTCGTAAGCCCCGTCGGTAGAAGTGCTGGACAGGAAAGCGTTCCTTACACCAATGGGCAATTGGTCTACGATGGTAAAGTTCGCCTCGGCAAGCGGGCCGAAAGGATCCACGGCCATTTCAGCGCTCCGGCAAAGGACGGTGTACCAGGACTGAAGGGCAGCTGGGAGATTGCAGTTTCCCACATCCAAGCTGGCTCGGCGCTGTCTAGCGCGGACACCACCCACCACCAAGTTTCGGTTCAAAATCAATCCCGGGCGCCGGATCACCTTCCCCGCAACAGTGCCCCACACATTGGGCAAGAGCCCATGTTCCATCCAAACCATTACATCTTCGGCTGTTCGGATGCGACTCCAAGTCATGGGCTCCATGTCCTGGGATCCGAGCGGGTAGAAGCCCCCAGCGGCAGCCACCAGCCTCTCGGCAGTGTCTCCTGGAAGCCTTCCCAGAAATTCGAAGGCTTCCGTCTGGCCGTCGTCCGTGCAAGCACTCGCAGGAAATCCACCAATGTGGCGGCAGCCGCAGCGGCAGGGCCTCAGACGCAAAGCCAAAGCTAATCTGCAAAGCGAAACGCAAAACTCCTGCTGCCACCTGGGTTCAAAGAGCTGAGGACACGGCATATTGGATTCTGCCGGTGTGCGCAAGCGAACGCCACTGATGCCAGGATGTGACATGATCCCCTCCACATAACTGACCACAGCCTCTTGGACTTTGTATGCTTGATTGACGTTCGATCTGACAATAGCCAGGTAGGCGAAGATCAACCAAAGCACGGCCGTGAAGGTTAGCCTGCAGAGACTTTGCCTCCACCTGCACGGCCAGTTAGTCCAACATCCTAAACTCCCAAAGTTCCAAAGACATCACACACTGCACACGCTCCAGATGGTCGTCTTCTATCCTCTGCGTAGGCACACCCCCCTAGATCCACTAGGTCCTATACGTTCCATCCCAAGATGGAGCGAAGCTCAGTCCCTGGCCACTCGCGCTGGTTCAGGTACTCGATCATTTGAAAGCGAGTGACGCCCTTTGTGTCCTCCTCCACAGGCGGGGCATTCTCAAAGTCCGCCAGGTCACCACCCAAGTCACCGAGGTCATCCCCTAAATCGCCTAAATCGCCGAAGTCGTCATCAAGTCCATCTGGCAGCTGAAGGTCGTCTTCAGTGCTCATCCCCTCACAGCCCGGACAAGCCGGAAAAGCGAGGGGCCTCCACTCTCATCATTCTGCTAGCCCAGCTGCGGCATTCACATTCAACATGCAATGCCTGTATGTTCTCCGGGATTTCTTAATCAGATGGGGCGGCTTTCTTGAGGATCCTGCCTGTTGGAATCTAATTGCTATTTGAGTCCACCTGCACGCTCTCATGCTCTTCTAGGGCCACTGCGAGAGACCTAAGACGGCTGAGAGCCCAGCTGCCACCGCACAGCAGCCGGCCAGCCTGGCACAGTGGACCAAGAGACTATGCCGCGCATGGCGTCTGCACTGAGCGACGAGAGAAAGACAGAGAGAAATACAAGAGAGAGAAGGAGAGAGTGACTTTGTTCCCACCGCGAGAGATGGAAACATAGTCTGAGGCCATAGGTAGGTAGCAGGTCGGTGGGTAGGTCGGCACCTAGCTTGCTATACAGCTTGGTAGATGGATAGATAGATAGATAGGTAGAGAGAGAGAGAGAGAGAGAGAGAGAGAGACAGAGAGACAGAGACAGAGAGAGAGCGAGAGAGAGAGAGAGAGAGAGAGAGAGAGCTGAGAGGTAAAGAAATCGGCAGCTGAATGGTGAGTTCATGGACGTCCATCAGCTGACACACTGCTGCTGCCTGCAAATCCCTTTTGCACCTGTTGCTGCGAGCACACGTGGCAAAGAATGCCAGTGAGGGCACGAACAAGAGAGCGACGCGGAGACATGCATCAGCAACCCTGTGCATTCCTTCACGCACATACGACATACGGGCAGCCAACATGTACATTCCAAAGCACAGCGAAGTTGCCGGCATGATCATGCCCATTTGAGCTTTCAGGGGAGCCGACAACCATATGCGTGTTCTTGGGTGAGTTACCCATGCAGGGGAAACAACTCGCAGACCGTAGCGCCGTAGGAGCAACAAGGAGCCTGGTTTGGAAAGCCTTGCACCAAACTTCACCAAACAACTTCGAACTCCAAATAAGCTTGGACTCACGGCTGGGTCAAAATAAAGGGTATCTACTGGGGGGCATATCTGCTCCCACTTGACAAGTTGGCATTCGCCAGCCCTCATTTATGGAAGAGCCCTGATGCACAAGAAGCCAACAATGCGCCTCTCGCCGAAATCCTGGCTGGTCACTATGGCGAATGCATGCAGGTCACGTTGGAGGTAATGGGCTGTTTGGGAAGCCTGGGGAGAATATGTGCAGAGAGCTGCATCTCTTCCAACATGATAAGATACAGATTTATCTACACACATCTTTCTAGTCACAAATAACCCTCGAATGCTGAAGTTACTCTGTTCCTTGAAAGAACGCACTACTCACATGTACGACTTGCCTCAGCCGAGAGCCCCTGCCTCGGCGAGCAAGAGCTGTCGGAAGCCAGAGTCAAACTAAAACCGCAAGAGGCATTGCGTGTACAGAAAAGAGTTACAAGCTGGCATGCAAACCACCCGCACATTGATTCTCATCAGTGAGACTTCACAACAACGGTCGAAGGTCGCTATGAGGCGTTAGCTTGGAGTTTCACATCAGAGTTATCAGAGGTTGCGGAAGCGAACATTAAGTCGAATAAGTGTCAGTTGGCGACACGCTACGTGGCAATTGGCAAACGTCGACTTCTGCAAATACAGTCTGCAAGCTTCTGTTCTGTTGGTCAAGAATTTATGCACACATAATTGTTTTTGTATATATATATATATATATATACATGTATGATCATGTTTGTACATGTATATGCACATGCATATGTGTATAATATATATATATATATATATATATATATAGTTAAACTGACATATGTACAGACTCATAGACATATGGGCCATTAAAAAGGGAATCCCCTACTGTTCTGAACCACCGGGACCCTGACATCTCGTTCGGGTCCAAGGCTTCTCGGATGACCTGGCATTGTTGTAGTAGCCAACGGGAAGCGTTAGTCCTGTCGATGTGCAAAAGGAGGTAGTGCCCATTTAGAAGCCCTTGAATTGGGCAGCCTGCTATTTCGACTGCGACACTCACACAAGGCAGGGTCCATAATATAATGACTCTGTAAGTCAAGGAAACCGTTACAAACCAAATTTTCTCGAAACTTGCATCGCACCTCCCTCATTCTTGCTTGCAGAGCCTCGCGAAGTGTGGCCTGGATGCAAGAAAACGTGAGAGCAAAGACCGCCGCTTAAAGCATCTTCTAAAGCCTGACGGAAGGCTGTTGCCCTCGCCCGCAAAGCCGCTACATCTCTTTTCTTTGCTCCCGGCAGGACCCAGCTCGTCTTGACCTCACGGCTGGCAAATACAAAGGCAGTCTCAGCTCAACCACCCTTACGATGAAAACCCAACTGTGACCCAATTGGCAGGATGTTGAAACGCTCTGAGCTTGGAACTGAGCCAACACAGCACGGCTTGAGCACCGGCCTAAGTGCTGTGCATCACTTGCCCAGCAAGGGATTCGGGACGGGAGCCGACGACCCGGCAGAGATTCTGATGTTGAGGATGTTTACACCCAGTGTGCTTCCGGTCTTTTGGCTCCCTTCTTTTTCCCTCTCGCATTGCTTGGAAACTGTGCCCGGCTCGCGAAGTCTGACAGGCGAAAGGTTCGGAGGGAGTGGAGGGAGGGCCATACAACTGCTCACACACACAAACTTTGTCTCAGCACGTCCTAATGCGAAGAAAAACTGACACTACCCGACGAGACGACGACAGATTGCAGTTACCGTGCAGGTTTAGTTTCACGACTCGGCCCATGATTGAAGCAACACATTTGAGGGCTTTTTGGGCTGGCGGTGCTTGCAGGTACTGGCGGCGGATCAGACAACCCCTCCCCCATCGCAGAACAGCTTCGTTGGCACAGGTATCCAAGACGGGCCTGTGCCCCTGCACTGCTGCAACAGAAGTTACAGTACATCTTTGTTTGAAAGGCTGGCCCTCGGTCACCATGTTCAGTTGTATACACACACACACACACACACCCACACCCGCACCTACACCCACACCCACACCCACACCCACACCCGCACCCGCACCCGCACCCGCACCCGCACCCGCACCCGCACCCGCACCCGCACCCGCACCCGCACCCGCTCCCGCACCCGCACCCGCACCCGCACCCGCACCCGCACCCGCACCCGCACCCGCACCCGCACCCGCACCCGCACCCGCACCCGCACCCGCACGCACGCGGCATAAACATGTTATCACTTGTTTTCACCTCGTGTGCTTCCGGCCACTAGCTCCGGCATGCAGCGTCTTGATTTTAGATCCCGATGAGCACCCCAGCCAGCGAATCCAGAAAATGGGAGGCAGCCTCAAGCCCAGGAAAGTTCTCAAGAAGACCAGGGCAACCGAAGCTCGGAGGGGGGCAACCAGCAGGGAAGTTAGCGACCCTGCTCCTGCCCCTACAGCTAAAAGGCGCCCGCTCATGAACTTTCAAACGCTACGGGAACGTATTCGTCGGCAGCATGAAGGAACATGGCATCACATGTAGGACAAACAATCCTGGGAAGAGTGCACACGCGACAGACACCAAACCAAACGACTTTGCGAGAGAGAGAGAGAGAGAGAGAATGCGAGAACAGTAGCAATCTGGGCTTTGGACGGGCTTGGGGAGGAGGTGGCGCTCCTGCCGAGGACGCGGCTTATCGTGTTGCAGCAATTAAAGCACGCTATGATTCAAAGAGGTACTATCAGGATTCTTACAAAGGATACACAAATCCGCATGATGATGGGGTATAGCCGTCGTCCTGATGCAGAGAACGCGAAGAGACCAAACACTGCTCGAGTCCCCACCGCTCCTGCGGAGCTGCAGCAGTCAAGTCGATGCCTCGAGACACAAAGTTTTCCAGGGAAGCAGACAAAGATGAAAAGAACCTTCAGTTCCGCACCCAAGGCTTTGATAGCCTCGTCGGCTTTGCGCAGAGTCTCCTGGCATTCGCACGAGTGCCATGAGTCAAAAACAGGATACAAGCTTTGGGGATCTGGCAGATATTGTGATGTCTTCCAACTTCCAACTTGGGCTCGGGAGGCGCGCATGCGTTCGCAAGCCACGAACTACGAACCCGTTGAACTGCATACGTTCATATCAGGCTAAACATGGCATGGCATGGCTACGAGCCCGTCGTGCGCAATGAAGTCCCAATCTCTTCATGCACCGTATGCACACGGACGTGTATGTTGCACATGCAAGGGGACTCAGAAATAGCAATGCTGATTTGCATGCAAATGTGAGAAAATCGCGAGCGAGAGAGAAGAGAGAGAGAGAGAGAGAGAGAGAGAGAGAGAGAGCAAGCTCCACAGAAGGGTTGAGCGCATGACATGTTCAAGCTGAGCTCCATGCCTCTGCCCTCAATGCACGCTCCTTGTTGAGGCGCCTCAGTACGTACATATTTATGTACAGACTTCAGTAGGTACTTTTGCCGGCAGGTCCTACACGCAACCCCGCCCCCCTCTCGCTAAAACAAATGATGGGGAGAGAGCACAGTGGCATTTGCACCGCTAATCTGTCACCAACTGAACAGACCGGATTGACGCACCGAACAAAAAATGGAGCATTGATGGGGCTTTCGATTCACGCAGCTGCACAATGGCTCGAAGGACGCCGGAGACTTGCGGCATGCTCCGATCCTGATGCTCGAGTCGCGCGATGTGGTGCTCTGAGCTCTGGACACTTCGGGAGGCAGCCGCGCATTCAGCGACTTCCTTGGATGGCTGGTCATTTCTTGGGGGTACTATGCGACGTGACCCGAGCACCCAAGACTATACCTGTGTTCACAATGAGCAATTCAATCGTGCACTGCACTTTCCTCGGATCGCATTGTCGTCAACGCCTGAGACAAAGCTTCATTGATTTTGCGAGATGCCAAGGCGATAAAAGGCACCTCGCTCAGTGACCCCATCCGGGGAGCTATGGTAGAGTTCTGAAGTACGCACAGCTGGCCATCTGAAGGCTCTTGGACCTGTGTAGCGTATGTCTAAGTAGTCTTGTTTATGCAAGATGGCTGAGGGGCTGGATTCCGGTGACATGCCGGGAGTGGCATAGCCAAGCCGGGTGAAACCTGTGCAGCGGATCTCAGATCGCAGAGTCTCTGCCCACATGAGCCCGCATAGATAGCTCTGCGGGAATAGTCGGCGTGGGACTCAACTGAGGGTCCTCAACCTGTGTGACGGAAGATCCGAAAACAAAGTTGCTCACTTCTTTCTTTACCTCCGTGTCACCCTCCTGTGCCACGAAGCTGCGGAAGACCGCCCCACCACCTGCGCTTCCCAGTCTCGTAAATACTACGGCATGAGTCCTGTTCTAAGGCAACCTTCAATAAACGCGAAAACTTTGGACAGGAGCTGCGGCCGCAATAGCCTTCGGAGTAGGACGTGTCGTCAGAGGACTCGGCAGAGGAGGAGACTGAACTGTCTTCCAGCTCTTGGTCCTTTTCTGTACGCCTTAGAACGGCACAAATCCAGCCCAAAATCTGTGCTCGCTTTGTGCCTCAACCCTTGAATCGAACAGGTTCCCAATGTTTGATTCGTTTTTGCTTCATTCCTAGAGAATATTTCTATTCCCTCCCTGCCGTTTGCAGATTCTGTGAGATCTCATGCTTCATGCACTTCGTTGCTGTACATGTGAGTTCCGAAATGTATGCTGGCTCGAACAGGGGCCCCTTGGGTTTTATGATGCTACGCAGTTGTTCGATGGCAGGAAAATGCGTGTGAGCGACTGCTGATAGGCAGCTGAGACGCAAGTGACTTCCACCTGTTATCACAGGTGGTAGCGGAGCCACTGGTGAGTGGCCGATGCCTCCGAGCGGGCAGCCCACGAGCGGGCAAACCCAGGCGACTGAGCAGGTCCAGGGCAGTGCGAGCTATGAGGGATCGTTCAAGGATCGAGAGCCCCCTCCGGGCTTTGATGGACGGAACCCTGACAAGGCGTTTCCGCGTTGGCTGAAGGAGCTTGAGCTTTGGAAGTTTGAGACGGAGATTCCGAAGAAGAAGTGGGGTGTCAAAGTTTTCCGTCAGCTTCAGGGCTCGGCAAAGTCAGTTGCTGATAGCCTTTCCTTCGATGAGCTGGCTTGCGAGAAAGGACTGGACAACCTGATGAAGGTGTTGAAGGATCACTACGAGCCTCACCTTCAAGTGTCGTTGCCCAAGGCCTTTGAGGAAGCAATCTACGGCGACATCAGGTCGGCGAAGGAGTCATTCAGTGACTATGTGATAAGGTACGAGCACAGCTTCAAGGAACTTCAGAGGCAAGGGGTTGAACTTCATGATCTGGTTGTGGGATATGTTCTATTCCGCCACGCCAACTTGTCTGATGTTCAAGAGGCCCAGATGCTGACCTGGGGTGCAGGCAAGTACGACCGGAAGACCGTGATCGAGAATCTTCGCAAGCTGGACAAAGGCATCTTTGATGTTAAGAAGAAAGGCCACCACTATCTTCTGGACACCGACGCCCCGGAGAATGACGAGGACGACGCTCTACCCAATGCGGAGGCTTTCCTTCAGGGCGATGATGAGGGCGAGTCCGATGGTGACGAGGACTATGTGTAGAGTAGGAGCGTGCCCTAGCAGGGCACGCTTCTACTCCAACGTTGGAGTAAGCAGCCCCCTACTAGGGCACGCTCCTACTCCAACGTTGGAGTAAGCAGCCCCCTACTAGGGCACGCTCCTACTCCAACGTTGGAGTAAGCAGCCCCCTACTAGGGCACGCTTCTACTCCAACGTTGGAGTAAGCAGCCCCCTACTAGGGCACGCTCCTACTCCAACGTTGGAGTAAGCAGCTCTCTGCTAGGGCACGCTCCTACTCCAACGTTGGAGTAAGCAGCCCCTACTAGGGCACGCTTCTACTCCAACGTTAGCAGCCCCCTACTAGGGCACGCTCCTACTCCAACGTTGGAGAAAGCAGCTCCTGCTAGGGCACGCTCCTACTCCAACGTTGGAGTAAGCAGCTCCCTGCTAGGGCACGCTCCTACTCCAACGTTGGAGTAAGCAGCTCACATCGGCGAGGACGATCTCAAGGACGTGTACGAAGAAGAACAGATGATGCAAGCTCTTGCAACGTACCAAGACATCAGGCGATCGCTGCGGGAACAGAAGACGAACCGTGGCTTCTATCCATCTGGCAAGGGTGCGGCGAGCTCCAAAGGTGGAAAAGACAAAGGCAAAGGTCGTGGTTCCTCGCGACCTATGCTGGACGTGAAGAACAGAAACCGTGAGCCCATGAAGTTTGGATCCCGTGGAACCAAGGTGCACATCGACCTCCTCAAATTGCGAACAAAGTGTGCACGATGCGGGGCAGTGGGTCACTGGGCACGTGAATGCCGCAACGCACCAGATGATCGTGGACGAATGGCAATGGCCAAGTCGCCCTCGGTGGCGCAGTCTTCTGTGTCTTCCCCGTCGACTAAGTCGGGTTTCTTCGTGGAGACTAGCGGCAATGCTCGCTCAGATGTGCTGTTCGGGAAAAACGAGACCGGCACCCTCATGTCGTATGCCCCCACCCTTGGAAATATTCTCTCGTCTATGCTCAGCCGTGATAGAGTGCCTACCTCCTCCAAGAATGCCGAAACCATTGAAGAGCTGAGTGAATCGTTCGTTGGTGTGAGTACACGCGCCGGTGAAGGCATCGTGGACACCGCGGCGCAGGACGGACTCGTGGGCAAGGCAGCGCTACTCGAGCTTACAAGTGTCCTGAGAGAGTATGGTTTGCAGATCAAGTGGAACCACCACAAACAAGCTCAGGCAAGTGGAGTTGGAGGCCGAGCCAAGGTTGTGGGCATTGCGGAGATTCCTGTGGGCTTGGCAGGGGTTAACGGCTTATTAGAAGCAACGGTCGTACAGGAGAATATCCCGCTCTTGCTTCCCATTCGAATGCTCAAACAACTGAAGGCTGTCGTGGATCTCGAATCAGATCGACTCCAGCTCAAGGCCTACGGGGTTGAAACTGCTATGCATGCAATGCCCTCTGGTCACATGTCAGTTTCAGTCACGGACTTTGCAGCTGGGGGTTGGCGCCTTCCGAATGCAGCAGAGAGCGAGCACATGAAACATGAGCAGTTTGTCCTTGCGAGCAGCGGTTTTCTCCAGAGCATGTATCCTCTCGAGGGTAGAACAGTGCGAAAAGTTCAATTCGGAGACGGCGAAGGACATGGCGCAGCTGCTTTTGCACCGCATGATGGACCAGAGGAGCCGGGATGCCAACACCCGGCCAGGAGCGCAGCCTGCGGGAGTCCTTCGGAGCCGTCGTGCCATAGCACGTTGGCGAGTTCTGGGGGACAAGATGTGCGATCTCATGGGGATCGTAAGCCTGCGAGAACGAGTTTGGGAATGGCTACCAAGTGGATCGCAGCGGCTGTTGGGGCTGGAGCCCTCGGATGCCGCCACTTCCCCTTCGACCCCGACGTCTTCCACGACGGCAAGTTCGGACAAGCAGCTGGAGTATGCCAAGATTATCAAGGTCTCGACCTACCTTGGACAGCGGAAGTCGAAAGATCCTCCCAAGAAGACCCGCGAGCAATGCGAACATCCTACTACGGAGTTGAAGGGTGGAGGAAATCAATACTCCAAGGAGATTTGGTGCAATGTGTGCAAGAGCAGGTGGGCGAGCTTGACCCCGGACGAGCTCCATGCGAAGATGAAGGAGATCAATCAGGTGCCCATTGCGCCGAGTATGACTTCGGGATCCATGGAAACGGGGCAAGGCTCAGCAACGGTGGTGAAGTGCCAGTGTGGCAATCCGGCCACCAGGTGGGAAGTGAAGAAGGATGGCCCCACCAAGCATCGGCACTTCTACAGGTGCCGCAATCGGGTGTGCGAGTTCTTCCAATGGGACGAGACGGAGCAGCGAGCTTTGAAGTCGAGGGTCCGGTCCCAACCGGGAGATCCGGACGAGATGATGGAGATCGACGGTCAGGAGAAGATGGTCAAGGACCAGATGGAGGAGCTCAAGTTGCAGACGGAGCACCAGCTGAATGCCCAGGCGCAGTCGCACCAGGAAGAGGTCAACCAGCTGAAGGTTCAATTGGCCTGGATGCAGAGCTACCTGAGTCAAATGCAGGGGCCAGCGACGGCGGCGGGCTCGGATGGCTTTCAGTTGGTCAACGAGTACTAGGCCGAAAGGGCCTTCCGAGCAGTGTGCACTCTGGAAACTCATGTGTGATCCAGACAGAGTCGCAGCTGCTCAATGCACGCAAACACCAGATGCAGGCATTTTGCTTGCAGGCCTCAACTCCGTGGAGCATGCCCATGTCAAGATGCTTTTATGTGTGGGATGAATTGAATGATGTGTGGTGTGAACGTGTTGGTTGGCTTCCTCGTGTCACAGAAGGGCATGTCTTTATGGCTGTGTTTGAAGATGAGAACAGTATGGTGTTATGGAGTGAAGAAGCTGGCAAGCTTAAAGCGCTTTCGGCTGGGGAGCGCAAGCACACCATGAATGCGGTTATGGATGTGCGGACCAACCTCGATGACAACTGCCAGCAGATGTGTTTTGAGGCTGTATCACCAGACAGAATTCACCAGTTTGTTGAGTATGACCAGGCGATGGCCATTTTGGATCCGCTTGGAGCAGAACAGTTTTGGTTGGAACTCAAAGCCAAGGGCCCAAGCTATCTTGTACTACAACCTGCTCGTGATGAGCCAAGCTTGAGGCTGGCATGTGAAGCAGCAGAATGGCAGCAAGTGCGTAATCTGGTGTTCGCTGTGATATGTGAGGCCGATGATGAAGGTTATGTTCGGAAGTGGCTCGATGAATCACCTTCGGTCTATGTTGGAGAACTCACTCCGAGTCGCAGAGTGGTGACTAACCACTTGAAGATGTTTCGCGAGATGGAGAAGGTGTGGTGCCACAACGAAGAGATGATCTCCCAGAACACCAACGATCTTCTGCAGAATCCAAAGGTGCACCGGACGGAGGAAAACAAAGTGTTTTTGAATGTAGAGATTATCTCCCAGAACACCGACGATCTTCTGCAGAATCCAGAGGTGCACCGGTCGTATAATTATGATGTGTGTCAGGAGCACGACTGGTCCCCTTTTCAAGATGTGTGTCAGGAGCACGACTGGTCCCAGAATGAGCTATGTGATCAGGACGTCTACATCACTACAGTCCAGGCTGGCATGATTGAGTTCAAGGCTGAGCGTTTGCTGACGGACCAGGACTTTTCCTTTGTTTCGTTGGAACAGCTTCTACAGTCCATGCCACAGCTGGTCAAGACAGGGCGGCAGAGTGTGATGCAGGGAAGCTATGCGTCTTTCGGGCTGTACGCTCATGGGAACCACTATGGAGTCACGAAGTGGGCAAAGGAGCTTCCGAGATTTACGGAGTATGTCAATCAGGTGATTAAGTATCAATGTCGATGTCAAGGATGGCAAGCGCCAACGTGGACCACCTTTGCCATAGGACAAAATGCTGGGAGTGCCCTTCACAAGGACAACCACAACTGCCCCCACACTAAGAACTACATCTTCGCGCTGGGCAAGCACCAAGGAGGAGGACTGTGGACTGAGACCTCCGAACCGGCCAATCTCCAAGGACGTTCAAAGGTTGAATGGAAAATGCTGCCAAATGGGAAACGAGTACCAGGTGTTGTGCACGACATTCACTACAAGCTTCACGCCTTCGATCCTCAAAGGTGGCACCAAACTTCGGTTTGGAAGGGAACTCGCTATGTGGTGAGTGCGTTTACTTCTAGGGCAGCGGACCTTATTGACAACCATGAGCTCTCGAACCTACGAAAATTGGGTTTCTCCTTGCCCCAGGACAACTTCACCTACATGTTTGATGGAACGAGAGTGCCCGGGATTGGACCTTTCTCCAGCGTGTATGTTGAGGATGATGAATGTGGTCCAATGGCTGAGGGAGGAGCTCAAGATGAAGATCGAGGAGAAGCAGAGTTGGTTGATGACGCGGTGGAGCCTACTGCGGAGGAGAAGAGACTCGTCAAGAAACTACACGACAACCTGGGACATCCTGGAGCACGGGAATTGGCTCGATCTCTACGGCTTGCACATGCCAAACCACACATTGTGCGGCATGTGGCCAAGAAGTTTGTGTGTCCTACCTGCGAGGCACGTCCCAAACCTCGACCGGCTAGACCAGCCGTTCTTCCCAAGGCTTACGAAGCTGGGAAAGTGGTGGGGGTTGACGTGGTCTTCCTACCAGGTTTGGATCCAAGACAGAGCTTCCCAGCGCTGAACATTGTTGACTGGGGCACCAACTATCAAATGGTGGAACGCCTCAAGAATACCGAGTCGGACCATGCCTGGCGAACCTTTATGAGAACGTGGGCAAGAGTGTTTGGGGTTCCAGAGATTATCGTGGCGGACCTCGGCTCAGAGTTCAGAGGGCAGTTCTCAGAGTTGGCAGGCCAAGCTGGGGCGTTGATTCGCCACACGGCGGCACGGTCGCCATGGCAGGCCGGGAAAACGGAGAGAGCAGGAGCGCACTTCAAGCATGTGTATGAGCGAGCCAGGGACACGGTGCATGTGACTTCGTGGGAAGAGGTAAAGACGTTGCTGTATGAGGTTGAGGGTGCCAGAAACCGCTATGGAAACCGGAGTGGATTCAGTCCAATGCAAAGGCAGATTGGGCACAACCTGAGATTGCCCGGGTCGCTTCTTTCAGACGACCACCTGGATCCTCAGTTGGTGGTTCAATCTGCGGGAGACGAGATGCGCCGGACTCTCGAGATCAGGAAGTGTGCTCAGGAGGCCTATGTCAAGTCTCAGACAGAAGTTGCGCTTTCCAAGGCGAAGAATGCAAGGTCTCGCATTGCAGTTGAGTTCCATGCTGGGGAGACGGTGTATGTGTACCGGCAGCCTTATGAACGCAAGCGTCGCCATGCCATGACGCCGGAATCCCATGAAGGGCGGAAGCCTACTTGGGTAGGTCCTGGTTTGGTTTTGGCTGTGGAGAAACCTAGCCTGTGGATCTCAATGAAGGGTGAGCTATGGAAAGCGAGCTTTGAACAATGCAGGCATGCAACAAGTGAAGAGCAGATTGCTAAGGAGATGCTTGCAGGCGAATTGGAAGCCCTACGTGAAGAGCTGAGCCGAACCTCAACGAAGAGGACCTATCGCGACATGACTGGAATGGGAGTTCCTGAAGATGATCTTGACGATGACGGAGGCGAAGCTCGTGGAGGTGCACTAGGTCCTGTTCTTGAAGAAGATGAACGACCAGCTCAACGTCCTCGTGTGGAGGAGGCTGTCAATGTGCCGATTCCCGAAGATGATGACGAGGAGCTGGATTACTCTCCTTCCGAGGTCAATGATGACCCAGTTGGCGAGGCACCTCAACTACCACAATCAGAACGCCAACGGACGGAGTCCGAACCTGAGCCACTACCAACCCCGAGGCTGTCTGAAGCTACCGCGAGAACGGTGATGAGAAATGAGGTGCTCGATGGCAACTTTCCGGGTTCCCCCTCCTACGAAGCGGTCAGAAAGGTGCAGAAGCTCAAGCCCAGAAATGAACCCTACTTTGAAAGAGGATGTGATGAAAAGGGTGCGCACCAATGGTACTGTTTGGAGGATGGCCAATGGAAGCCTGAGCAAGATGAGTGGGAGTTCGTAAGCCCTGATGTGGTGATCAGACGCCATAATGTTCCAAGGAGCTCTATGTGCAACCCCGGCAAGATCCGCAAAGCTCTACTTCCGCGGAGGCTCAAAGTTCGACAAACCTATATGGTCATGGACGATGGGACAGTGGACAAGAGCAAGGACTTTTGGTTCAAGCAGCGGAAAAGCAAGGGCAGCACAACGAAGTCTTGGACGGGCTTTACAGTGTTCTCAAACAAGGAGGTGAACATCGAGAACTTCGTGGTTGGAAAAGCTCGTGGACAAGGTGAAGTATATGCTCACGAGATCAAGGAGGACGAGTGGCCAGAGTGGAGGAAAACGGACAAAGGAGAATGGGACAAGGTGTTGGGAACTGGAGCCATTCGAATCCTGGACCTTGAGGAATCGAGAAAAATCAGGAACAGTGAAGAGCGTCACCGCATCATTCCGAGTCGTATGGTGAGGCGGTGGAAACCAGGCGACCAACCGGGATCGCCTCCTACCCGCAAGAGCCGCTGGTGTTTGCGCGGCGATAAGGATCCGGATTTGTTGGAGCTGGACAGGCATGCCCCTACACTCAACACCACGTCTTTTGGAGTTTTGCTCCAGGTGGCGTCGAGCATGAGATACGCCGCAGCGATTGGCGATCTCAAAAACGCCTTTTGCCAGTCCTTGCCTTTGCATCGGCGACAAGGCAAGCTTTACGCCTCCCTTCCGAAAGAAGGAATCGATGGGCTACACGAAGAACAACTCGTGGAGGTCGTGGCAGGCGTATACGGCCTGGGGGACTCGCCACAACATTGGCGAAAGACTCTTCGTGATGCGATTTTGGGATTGGGATATCGTGAATCCCAACTTGACCCCACAGTCTATCTGCTACAGACCGGTGACGTCTTGGACGGAGCGATTGCTGTGGAAGTGGACGACTTGTTCACCTTCGGCAACGGGGTCCACACCGAGCGCATGAACAAGCTTCGGGAAAAGTTCCAGTTTGGCAAGTTTGAGGATGTGATGAGCTCGCCCACTGGAGTGGCCTTTAACGGCAGAAGGATCAAGCAGCTTCCAAACTTTGAGTTTGAGATTGATATGTGCAAGTTTGTTGAAGAAAGGCTGAGTCCTGTGCAACTAAGCAAGGGGCGCAAGGCGTGTGCCAAGAGTTTGGCGAACGACAGCGAAGTGAACCAGATGCGGGCTGTCGTGGGAGCCTTGAACTGGCTTGCTAAAGAGGGAAGACCGGATGCGGCTGCTGCTGCGTCTTTGGGAGCCAGTACGTTTCCCAAGCCGACGGTCCAGGATGTGATCGACATCAATCGTGCAGTTGCTCTACTTAAAGAACGACCCGAGCTCAAGATTAAGATCCGGAGCATTGCACCTGAGAACCTCTCTTGGGGAGTGGTGTCTGATGCGAGTTTTGCGAACGCCTATGCTGGGCATAGCCAAGGAGCTTATGCGATCTTGGCATTTGATGACCGCTTGAAAGATGGTTATCGTGTGCCGTGCTCAATGATTGCATGGAGAAGTGGCCGTATCCAGAAAGTTGTGAACTCAACCTTGGCGGCGGAGACCCAGAGTTTGAGCAAGGGACTCGGCGAGTTGTGTTGGGTAGCTACGCTATTCAACGAGCTCATGGATGTGAACTTCAAGATTTCCGAGTGGGAAAGCCGACTACAAGGGAACCGAGTTGTTACGATGGCTCCCGAGGACTCCAGCGAGGAGTTGAAAGGAAGTCTGTGCATTGTGGATGCCAAGGCGCTCTACGACCACCTCTCAAAGGAGACAGCTGGCCCTTCTTCAGACAAGAGGACGGGACTTGAGATTCAGGTAATCCGTCAGAACATGAGCAGCATTAACAGCGAGATACGCTGGGTACCACACCCTCACATGGTGGTGGATGGTCTGACCAAGAAGGCAGCTAACATGACGGCCCTGTACGACCTTCTGGAAAGCGGTGAGTACCAGATTGTCAACGAAGCCAGCGCGTTACAGGAGAAGAAGAACGAGCGAGAAATTCGAGGCTACAACAAGAGATAAGCAGCAACGAACAAAGTTCGGGGAGCTGTGAGATCTCATGCTTCATGCACTTCGTTGCTGTACATGTGAGTTCCGAAATGTATGCTGGCTCGAACAGGGGCCCCTTGGGTTTTATGATGCTACGCAGTTGTTCGATGGCAGGAAAATGCGTGTGAGCGACTGCTGATAGGCAGCTGAGACGCAAGTGACTTCCACCTGTTATCACAGATTCTGACTTTGACCTAAGAGATGGCTTCTGCGGCCGTCTGCGGTAGCACAAATCTAGTCGTCAAGTCTATAGTCACTCATCATTGATGCCTCGGCCCACTTCCAGCTCTTGGGCTGGTTGAAACAAGCGATCTCTCTGAGCCAAGTAGGCTACGCACATGTTATGTTCAGAGGGTCGATGACCCAATCTCGTGTCGTGTTCAATGCAACCATCAGCGCGGGGGCCCCACATCAGCCTAGTGATGCCTGGCAGTTTAGGCAAAGACCTTCTTACACAAAAATCCTCTTCAACGACTTGCCGTTGTGCTTCCGCAGCGAGACTGGTTGTGCCTTCGCATGGCGGTGGACCCTCGACTGTACCTGTAGGCTTGTTCCACCTCCACACAGTTTATCTCCTACTGGTGAAAGATTGAAAACGAAACTGCTGGCATGTGCGGCGCGAATCAGCTGAGAGCCATGCCGATTGGCCACGGGGGCACCGCCAAAGACCGGGACTCTTCGTGAGGCCTGGAGGTCGCTGTCCCGCCCCTCGGCCTGTGCCTCTCGCTGCTCTTTCCACCGCGCTTTCTTCTGCGAGGTCTTCCCGGTAAGATAATCATAGGTGGTGATGTCGAGGACGACCAAATATGTGTGAAAGACCACCAGTGTCGAGTCCAAGAAGCAGAGCGGAATATTTAGCAGTGCGAGTACCACGCTTATCAGCCAAAAGAGGATATTGCCAAGACCAAGCGGGTTCGTAGAGTCTCCGGAAGCCGCGGCATGCTTGACGATGACCAAGATGTCCGCCGTGGAGCTTACCGCGAGCATCACGAGCAGTGACCAGATTGCAATGTAGAAATAGAGGTAATTCCGTGTCCCTATGCAGGTATTGAGCCATGGGCAATGATGATCATAATTTGAAACACACTTGTTGCAGTCCCAGCAGTGTTTCGAGTCTAGTTGCACGTTCACCCGGCAGTTCTTGCAATAGGCCATGGCATCGTGCTCTGGAGCAAGGCCCTCTTCGCACCTCCAAACGTTGATGTCCATGGGATCCACGGTCATGGTGACAATCCCAAAGAAAGCCGTGAATGTGAATGAGACACCGAAGATAATGCCGAAGATAAGTCGGAAGGGCTCATACAAAAGTGGGAAAAGGAACATCCCAAAGGCGACAGCATTCCCGATGCAGATAGAGATCGTTACCACCTGCCGCTTGGATGGTGGACCTGATCTCTACCGACAGCACCGTATCTCCTACTGCCTCTTCGCATCTGCTGCGACTTGCTACAGGTAGCATACTTGACACAAGTAGCATATTTACTTGCGGCTCATGTCCGGGTTCCCGACAGTCCCATGCATTTCGTCGCCTGGGCAGGCTCGGCGGCATCTCAGTCCGACCACTTGGGCCACCATAATCTTGAGCCCAAAGCGGGACTGCACAAAGATCGAACTCTGGTCCGCATGGGTCACAGCTTGCAGAGCCTGCACATGCTAGTCTGGGGGGAGATACATGAGCTCTGCATCCGAAGGAAGCTCATCGTTGACGGCCTGCAACTTCCGACGCAAAAAATGCTCAAACCGACGAATCGCAAGGCTCCGGCACAGAGCGGCAACCTGACATGGAAGTGACCACAGCAGGACTACACGACAACGCTGTGTGCTCGTGTGCCTGGGCTTCAGGGGACCTCTTCCACAAGAAAAGCCGAAGACCAGTGCCTGCAACTTTCATAATATATATATATATATATATATATATATATATATATATAACAATATATAGCTCCACAACTATATGCAGATACCGGCAAGCTCTTCGGATTCGGACCCGGGCCGCAACAACCTGGGAGTGCGTGGAGGTCGAAGAGCCTTGTCCAGACTTGGGCAACAGGAGATCACGGCGACCCTAGGCCCCAGGCCCTACATGAGCTCACATGACCGGAGAAGCACCATCAAGAGAGCTCTTTCGACACTTTTAACAGCCGGCAAACAAGCAGTACGCAGCACAACACACTCCGTTTGGATGTGTGCTATTTGCATGGCGCGGTGTTACCGTCTTGTTGTTAACTACATGCATCTCTGGAACTTCGGCACCCAACCCAGACAGCACCGGCGAAGAGGACCGGAAAGTCTGTGGAATATATTTTGACAAACATATAGACAACAGCTTATAACCTAAACATAAAGTAGGCATGCTATGCTGCCGATGGGCGCCAGACTGATCTCCCGTCACTCCTTCGAAGCCTGGGAGTCTAAATGAACAGAACAAGAATTCTCCTCCGTATCTCACAGAAATTATCGAAGCTAAGCACAAGCTGAGTTACAGTGAGTGCTAGTCTAGCCATGTCTAGCCTTCCCCGAACTGAGACTTACTCAGCCAGGGATGCGAAAGCGCGTCATTAGCAGAGCCAAAACGATCGGCCGGATCGAACGCAAGCAATCTCTGGCAGAAGTCCTTGCTCTGTGGGATCTCTGCGAAGGTCATGTGGCTCCAGTCCACCGGGTGGCTTTGCATTTGGATCACGACGTTCTCCATCCAGCGCCTGTTCGCCGCTGGCGACTTGGGGCTATGGTCTGGGAACTCGAAGAAGTCAGGGGGGTACGGCATCTCCCCCGTCAGCAGCAAATATACTATGACACCGACACTGTACAAGTCAGTGTGCGCGGAATACATGCCTAAGAAAGCCTCCGGAGCATTGAACCGTGCGGTACCATAGCAGTGCCTCGCCAGACTTCTCGAAGCTTGGGGACTGAATTCTGCATCTGCATGGTCAAAATCGATGAGTGCAACCTTCTGCAACTTTCTGCCCGTTGAAGGGTCGTCCTGCAGATGCATCACCAAGTTGTCGGGCTTGATGTCCCTGTGGAGAATGCCCTGTTTGTGCAGGTGACAAAGTGTGGCCAAAATGTCCCTGGCCACACTGGAGACTGCCTGGGGTGGCATGTGTCCGTCTTTGTACTCCTGGCGGATCTCAGCTTCCAAAAAAACCCTCCAAGACTCTAAGCCTCTAAGCCTTAGCTTATCTCAGCTTCCAAGCACAACACTCTCCAAGAAAAGCAAACGGCGGCCTCACACCCCCGAAATCACCACCCCGGGCCCTTCCGGGCCCTTCGGTCCTGGAGCAGGCATTCGAAGAAGGGGCCACCGGAAGCCCGGTCCATGACGACATAGTAAAACGTCTCGTCTTCCAAGATCTCCCTCAAACGTATGACACCCGGATGGGGGGGAAAATTCAAGAGCCTTGTCTGTGCCCGTACAAATTCTTCCTCATGCAGGTCTTCGCGAAGCGATTCCTTGCTTTTGATCTTCATCACGAAGTTAAACTCTTCATCCGCGCGATCCTTAGGTCGGCAGACCACCACCTTCCCGCCATCTCCTTCTTGCTGAAGGACTTTCTCCCAGTAGTAGAGGTCGAAGATCTTTTCACCTTCTTCCAAGCTGCGGATCTTCTTCAAAGGTTCCGAAGGCTCCGACGAAGGCCGCCGGGATGGAGGTTGCGAGGGCACCCCCAATCGCTTACTGAAGCCCCGGCCACCGATCGCTCCACCCCAAGTCCTGCTGAAGCCAAGCTTGCTTGATCCCGGGCTCGTAGGGCTAGTGGGACTGATGGGCTCGTTTTCGGACTCAGACTTCTCAGCCTTCTCCTTCTCGGACTTGTCAATCCTTTCGGGCTTTTTCCTCTCCTCCCTCTTGGGAGAAAGCAAGCTGAGGAGCTGCGCTTGAGGAGTTGGCCGGAACGCTGCATCCGCCTCCCACTGCCGGTCAATGGCGGAGGTTCGGGGCTCGCGGGGAATGCTCATCGTGGCCCCCAGCTCAACCTTGGTAGTGGAAGGCTTTGGTAGCAAGGCTGTTCCAGCCTCTTCCGCGCCACCCTCTCGTTCGGGCCCCATGCCAAAGCCGTCGCAAGGAGGTCCGGCGGGGCCAGCCCAGGTGCGATGGCGGTGCTGCGATCTTACCGGGCGAAGCTGAGGCAGGGAGAGCGCTTGTGGGGCGTGTGCGGCAAGCGGAGAGGTGCGGCCCGGGCCCGTGCTCTCTTTTGGTGAGCTCGGTCTCGGCGAGCTCCGAGGACTTGATGCGGATTCCAACACTGTGGACTGGCTGTGGAGCAACTCTCGCACGGACAGTCCGGTGCGCGAGGGTGTTCGGGACGCGGTTCGCGAAGATGTGCTTCCCCTGCTAGCAGGCCTTGTCTCTGGTGTTGGAACCGTCAATGTGCATGTCGTGGCACGTTTGAGTGGCATGGTTCGAAGCCATGCGCCGCGCACACGGTGGCCCTATGCTTTGGCCATGGCCGTGTCCTATTTCTCAGCTGGGCCATAGATTTTCCGGACAGGTCAAGTGACGTCTGCTGCCTAAAGGCCGCAATGTGCATGGGCCCGCGCAAATGATGCATGCTGCGGCATTGAAAATTGATGCATGTACCATGGCCTGGCCTAGGTAGAACCGTCTGCTGGACTGCGGGATGACCTAGCAAAGACTCGCCAATCGAAGCACCCAGAAGACGTGAACATCTGTGGCCGGGCTTTGTGTTCTTTGGCGCATGGCAGCCATTTCAGTGATGGAAGGCGCACAATCATGCTGAACTGAGATTTGCTGTACCTTGCGTGGCTTTCTATACTCTGGTGCTCGGTAAACGAGATGCATTGCCATTGCGGACCAATTCTCTGCTTGTACACTGCTCGAGACTGCCAGTAATTCTGTTCACAACAGAACTTACCCTCTTCGTAGCTCTTTGCAAGGTAAGAGCTGGAATATCTCGACAGATAAACCAAAAACTATATGGGAATAAAGTTAGAATGCATCGAAACACAGTGAAGGTACACAAAAACGGAGCTCCTCTCGGTTGAGCAGCGGGTTGGCCGCTCACTTGTGACTTCTCAAGCCTTGCCTGAGAGGCGTGGTTCTCCATATATCTTAAACATAACCCCTCATTTGGCGATTCCGGTTCGAAACATATCTTAAACACCTCCACTCAATTGGCGATGCTACTTCATCATCTACCTGAAACACACCCTCTCGTTTGGCGAGTCCGGCTTAATCACGTATATCTTAAACACGCCCCCTCATTTGGCGAATGTGGTTGATCATATATCTTAAACACGCCCGCGACCCCTCATTTTACGATGCCGGTTCCTCATATATGTTAAACACGACCCCTCATTTGGCAATTTCGGTTCAAGAAATAAAAAACGGCTCCTCGTTGGCGACCGGCGATTCCGGTTCCACATATCTCTTAAACATGCCCCCTCTTTGGCGATTCCGGTTCATCATATTAATATCTCAAACAGGCCCCCCTCATTTGGCGTTGGCGATGCTACGTCATCATCTACCTTAAGCACCCCCCCTCGTTTGGCGATTCCGTGAAACCTGCACCCCTGTTTGGCGATTCCGGTTCCCCATACTCTTAAATGCGACTCTCATTTGGAAAATCCGATGCAACATCTATTTTGAACACGCCCCCTCGTTTGGCGACTCCGGTTCCCCATATTCTTAAATGCGCACCCTCATTTGGCGATGCTACGTCACCATCTCAAACACGCCCGCTCATTTGGCGATTGCGGCCCATCGTCTATCTTATATAATGTCACTTAAGCACGCCCCCTCATGTGGCGATTCCGGTTCAACATCTATCTTGAACACGCCCCCTCGTTTGGCGATTCCGGTTCCCCATATGCGGAGACGCGCCCCCTCCTTTGGCGATTCCGGCTCAACATCTATTTTGGAACCCCCTCGTTTGGCAATGCTACTTCATCATGTATCGTAAACACACCCCTCATTTGGCGACTCCGGTTCAACATAAATCTTAAACACACCCCCTCATTTGGCGACTCCGGTTGCACATCTATCTTGAACACGCCCTCTCGTTTGGCGATTCCGTTCCCCATACTCTTAAACGCGCCCCGTCCTGTGGCGATTCCGGTTCAACATCTATTTTAAACACGTCCCCTCATTTGGCGATGCTACTTCATCATCTATTCTAAACACGCCCCCTCATTTGGCGATTCCGGCTCAACATATGTCTTAAACGCGCCCCCTCATTTGGCGATGCCGTTTCATCATATATCTTGGACACGTCCCCTCATTTGGCGACCAGCCTTTGCCCCAGCACGGCGCATTAGCCCATAGGCCCGGCTGTCATCTACCCCTTGCCCTGGGGTAGGTTGGCCTCAAGGCAAAAACCGAACGCCTCACAACCGAACGCCTCTTGTGTGGGGAGTAGCCCCAATGGGGCAGGTTTGTCGATTCCGGCTCATCGCATATCTTAAACACGTCCCCTCCTGTGGCGATTCGGGTTCCCCACATTCTGAAACACCCCCCACCCCTCCCTTATTTGGCATTTGGCGATGCTACTTCATCACCTATCCTAAACACGCCCCCTCATTTGGCGACTCTGGTTCAACATCCATCTGACCAAAGCGGCTCCTCCGCCTGTTTCGCCTTGTTGGGTATCAGGATGTGGAGGGAGGGAAGGAAGTGTCCAAGACCCATGGCAATGCAGGTAAGAAAGAGAAGTCACAAGCGAAACAAGATCACAAGCGAGTCACAAGTGACCCCTATACCTGAGCAGCGCCCGGACTCAAAGCAGAGGCCACGAAAAGCCAAACACACGAACCTTCATGCCCGGACACTGCGCAAGACTTCAGCGTGAGAGAAGCAAAAGACAGCGGCGCTACTAAGCAGCCAAAGGCAAACCGGCCGCAAGAACCTTTAAATAACGCATGTTCCTTGATTGGCTGCATTCACATGTCTCCAAACAGTGTTGTTTCATAGGAAACTGGCATTGATACAGTTAACAACTTCTATTTCTCTTGTTGATGTAGCAGGATCTTTTTTCGAGAAATCGTGAATTACTTTAGGTATTCCGTGTTGCCCAGGTACGATACGATTGAGACATTCCGTCAAAGACGACTTCATTCCGCCCAGGTAGATATTCACATGTAGAGCGTATCAGTTAGACATTTGATGAAGCGAGGAGGTACGTAAAGTAGATGGTCGGATGAGTAGTCTGTTATCAACATCGTGCCAGGATGTGCCACGTGCGAGACCCCAGTTAGCTGGAAGGCTCATGCGACATTTTGTTTCGAATTTCATGTGCCTCAGCCCTTAGTCTTGAGCCTCAAGGTCCTCGACAGCATTTGCATGCCACGAAACCTTGTTCATATGTCGCAGGATTCAGCCTCGATGATACCAACCTGCTCGAGAAACGCAGCAAGGCTCTGGCATTGGCATGCGGCCTGTTTTGCAGCGGCGGAGTAGTTGCGAGAAACAGAGCATGCTCTTCATGCCTGGTATGGCTTTGCACTGGGAGGCGGTGGCTGAGTTCAAAGGCCGCCAGTCAAACGCAGCAGCCTTCGAATGCTTCTCATTGTCATGGTTCTTCGCGTAGCTCTTCTGCTTCGGGCAAGCCCAGAGGCGATTGGAGCGCTGCACGGACGGCACGGAGGTCAGTTTTCGGGTGCGCCCCAAGCTGCCACTCCGTTCAACAAGGAACTGTAAGTCCACGCAATGAAGCTGCTCGCATCGCAATCTCGAAGTGACTGTGACCACGGCCGTGGCGATAGCAAAGGAGGGTGTGTGCGAAGATCCTCTCAAGTATCTTCCAGCAGCTTTCTGCGCGGGAACAGAGCGAACCTGCCCAGGCATTGCCAGTCGCTATGGCTCAGCTGTAAGCTTTTCCTCAGCCTCACTTCTTGAGTCTCAGCACTTGCAATGCATTCAACGTCTGCCATGCCCTGGCATGGCCACGCATGTGACAGGGCAATGCGGCGGTCGTGCTGAAAGGTTGAGTATGGGCGCCGAGAGAGAGGACGGCAACATCTTCCAACGCAGGTCCACTCAACGATGTGCCGTTGCATCCTAGTCTTGGATGGCGCTTGGCAGCTATTGCAACTGGTGTGCAGGCAGACGCCGGCAATAAAGACCGCAGGGAGCCATCAATGCTCGAACTTGGAGAACTGGACATTGCAACCGAGTGCATCTGGGGTTGCTGCTGCGCTGAGGCCTGATCTTCGGCTTTCCTGCAAGCAGATTGCAGCTGGACGGTCAGGTTTGGCAAGACAAACTTGGCATGCCTGCTCCACCTTAGAGGCAGTTTCAGTTTCAAGGGAAAGAGTCAGAGGACGTGAGGGTGAGTTCGGCTCTGCCCAAGCAATTTAATGTCCCAAACATCTGCCCATCAGACTCCAAAGCACTCTGCTGCCTTGGTGGCTCTGATAATCTCATAATGCTACGCTTAAGGCTACGCCTCTTACACGCTTGCCCCCCCAGAAAAGATGCGGCAAGAAGAGCGCCGAGGCGAGGCTGCAGCCTCAGCAGCAGCCTTTTTTTCCACATTGGAAAGCCAGGACCGTTTAGCCGTTAACTAACCGGGCATCGCAGGCTTCTGCAACTGCTCACGGCCGGCTCACCCTGCTTTGAGCGCAAGGAACCTGCCTTGCATGCGCCCCTGCAGTGGCACTGAGACTAGCTTTCTTAATCTCTTTGTTGGACGTCGCTGCGCAGCAAACCTGTGGCGCAGCGCCTTGGAAGCTCCAACAGCCCTTGGGGCTGGGAGAGTGCGCAGTGCCGGGGCTGCCAGCGAGCTCAAGCAGAGGCGGCACGCGAAGACGCGATGCCAGGCCCAGGCACGTGCAGCTTTCCAAGGACTGGGCAGGGCAGTGACTTGCAGCTGAGCTTTCTCCCAAAGTGCATAGAAGTAGGAGGGGTGGAAAGAGCCGCGACCTTCACATCATGTCGAACAAACGGTCCAGGCTTGTGGATTTCTAAAGGATAACTGTTTGAAGAGTGGTCACGGCAAGGTCATGCAGACCTGACTCGGGTATGTCATTGATCTTAACATCTCGACGGTGCTTTGCAAACTGATTTCTCTTGACCTCACACGGAGGTGCGAGCCACCTGCCCGTCGCACAGCTGGTGGAGTGCAGGCTTCTTGTGGCAGTGAGAGCAGGACGCACTAGGACACTAGGAGCCAACTCGCACATCTTGAGTGCTCTGCGCTCGGAGGAAGACCGTCTCGGTTTCAACTCGGGCCCTCGGCACCTGTGAAGGGATCTCCTTTTGCAAACATCAGGCGCGACCTTCACCGTGCTGAAAGCAGCGGCTTCAGGACATGTCGTGTCACTGTCATCTCGGGCGTTTCTTGTGAACACCTGGCAGTGACAGAGACAGTGATTGCATCGATGTAGCCACTCTAGCCTTTGGCGGGGTCGCCGAAAGCACATGCAGTGCTCGCTTCAGATCAGATGCTCCTCGGCCGCAGCGGCGGGCGCGTACGATTAGAAGCAGAAGCGCCCTTTACGCTGGAGTTGGCGGCTGCATGCGGCCGTCTGCACAAATCGCAAGCTGAGGTGCCGCAGGTGCCAAGATGGCTTTTTGACTGAAGAGTGCGGCTTCCACGCACGTTTCCATCCTGTCAAGGAAGCCAAGCCTTCTACTCCGAGATATCAGCAGGCTTGGACTGGGCCCTCGGCAAAGGCACCGAAGGCAACTGTGGCCAAGTTTCCTGCTTTCGAGCTCAAGCCGTGTAAACACGCGGGCGTGGTAGGCAGGGGCATGCCGGGCATGGGAGCCGGAACCT